TTGGAAACATTGTGCCTGAAGAATCATCACCCGATCTAGACGAACTTCGAAAACTTGTCGATATCAGGACCGGTCACTTCAGTCATACTCACAGATTGTTCCCTGGACATCCGGATTGGAATGATGCAATTTCATTATTGGCAGTCACTCATCACCCTAGCAAAGAGGACCATCGACTATGCCCCGCATGTCTGATGGAGACCCCTGCGCCATTATCGATTTGTGTGATGTGCAAAGGATTTTTGGTGAGTCATGGATGGAGGAAACGAATCAAGATCACCGTGGCTACAGTACCAAGTGCCGAATCGCATCATCGAGAAGAAGATCTCAAAGACCATGTCAAGAAAGCATGGGAGGAGGTGAAGATCGATTTGACAGGTGATGATGATGACGACGAGGTGATGCCAGATGATGATGATGTCACCATGAAGAGTCCAGAACAAGAAACTCAACCAGAAGAAGGAGATGATGATCAAGCCTCGAAGAAGGGCGACATCAATGATGAGAAAAGAGACTTCAGAGAACAAGATGAGGTCGACAAATTTCTCAATCAAGAAGGAAGACCGACCGATGAGAACGATGATGAAGAGATAGCGGTCGATGAAATCAACATTGAAGAGTACGAGGCTGGAGAAGCTCGTGATGTAGTGATTGAGTACCCCAAGTGGATGCAACGGATTGAGTTTGGATCAAAGGTCCTGCCGATCGAACCTTGCACAATTGGAGATGCTCAGCCAGAATTCATCAAGATCCTCCTGTTGCAGATTGGATTACATATCGTCAGGATCTACAGACTATTCCAACGGAACTTCTGTGGAGACATCGAGACGGCATGGAAACATTTTCAGCAGAACCAGAAATTCAGGATGGACCTGGACTCAAGAACACCTTACCTGGGCGAGGATGAAAATGGTGAACTCATTGAACCAACTGCACAACAGATGAAAGAGCTCTACAAAGAGATCGGCCGACCAAATCAAAAGGACGACATCGGAGAAGAGGGATTCGTCAATGCATATTATGGGGCAGTGGTACTCAAAAGACTTCTCATATATACCCTTGAATGTGGCTACACGTATGATGACTTGCAAAACATCTTCTTTGATGAGGAGATGGAGAAGCTGTCGAAACGTGACACCACAATGGATGAGATGAGAAAGACCACAGCGGCCCGCGACGCCCTTGACCGACAAGACGTCATGGTCAGAAGAATCATTGCAGGTGCATATAGGGTAAATGCTGTTTATTTCTTCAGGAACGTTGACTTTCAAGACACAATCACACTGAATCCAGTTGACATTGTGTGTGCTCTTCGTCCACCACTTCGAAGAATATCACTTTTACACCTGATCCTTCAGAATGGCCGACAATTGCCGCGACCTCTACTCCAAAAGCTATATGATGCGATCGATGACTACAATCACATCAAGCAACGGGAAGATCAACGACCAAGGTGGGGCATCCACTTGTCTGAAGCTCACATACTTGCGATTGCTGATACCCCGACTCCTGCTGATCGTGAACGTGCCAATCCAGCCGCTGGCAAATCGAAAGCAGCCCCGAAAGCTGCACCAGCACTGGGAAGAGTGTCGAAAGCGAAAGCATCATCGTCAGCGACATGGAGAACAGTTGAAACCGCTCCTCCGCCAAAACAAGCTCCAGTGACCCCGCCAAAGAAGGGTGGAAAAGACCAAGGAAAAGGTGGAAAATCTTATTCACACCGTGGCGGAGACTGGAACCAACAGGGATACTATGGATGGGGATATAGATGATTAAGCGATCTGACCTCTGCATAGGTCCTGATTGAACCTGGCGATGCGAGGATGCAATCATTGCTCGAGATCTACCTCTACTTCATTTTGAATGATTTCTGAGAGGACTCTGAGCCGGCTAATTTAGGACCACACACATTTTTTTTGAACATCATTGCATGAAACGCTGAGTTTCTACAGCGGTCTACGTCTCAACCGACGAAGGGACGGGAAGGTAAACTTCTAGTTCCATAGTCATCTTTGTGTTTTGATCTTGTAATTCACATGCTTGAGTGGGATTCCATGCTGGCTACGCCACATAGGATGAACCTCAATGCTAGACACCGACTACGTCGTGTCTACATGCACGTGAACAGAACCTTTTATTTTGGTAGAGATTGTAGCAAGCCGCAATGTAGATGTGAAGTTCTGAAACGGACTTTAGCTCTCCTTAATTCAATAAATGAACAGCTGCAGATGTAGTGGATCAATTCAAGGAACACTCCTTTGCGCGTAGCCAACAAAGTCGGCTATGCGTGGGGGGTGCGAATAGAGTGTAAGCTACGGACCAATGTACAATATCACATAATTAATCACTCTAAGATCCACAGCCAAAGGGTATGACAATCGCCCTTTTGGCTCAAGACCCACTGCAGTAACAGAGCAAAGAGTTGCCATGCGGAAGCTGCTGCCCGCGTAACGTCGTCACTGGAATATTCACTTCAAGAACAACTATTAGAACATAATCGGACAAACAATCCCCGATTCGCATAATATATAATCTAATATATAATATAATATATAATATAATATATAATATAATATGATGTAATATGATATAATATGATATAATATAATATAATATAACAAATTGTAATATGATATAATACAATATAGTATAATATAATATAATATATTATATAATATATCATATTATATTATATTATATCATATCATATTATATTTATATTTATATTTAAATTTATATTTATATTAATATATATATAATAGACAGTTGGATCTTAACTTTTGTTGATTGTCAACTTGAGGCGGAATGCTCCTTCGGCAGCTCAAGCTACCTCCGACCTTCAACTGAATTACCAGGCAGCACACAAAGTCTTTCCCGCTGCGTGGAGCATAGTTCAAGCAGCAGCAGGAGATGTCTCATCTGAAGGCTCACCTGTTGTGGCTTTTAGTTTTGCCAATGCTGGACAAATTATAAGAAGAACTGCATGTGCCGCAACTGACCGTCTTTCGATCAAGGAGTGGGGCTGGTAGGGTTTGGGGTGGAGCCTTCTTTGTGTTTGAAAAGGTTTGTCAGCAACATATAATGAAATCAAGTGGCCTTGCACTTATCTTTGTGCCTATTGGAGGATTACAGCAGATCACTGGACTTCCTGCGCTTTGTGATCATTTTCCAAGAGGAAGATGTCTGGCAAATGTGTGAAGTATATGAGCGCCTGATTGCACGTGGCATAATCACTCTGAGGGTTTCCAACGAGCTTGCACCGCTCCTTGACTTCAAAAACTGAATGCAAAGGCCCCGCAGTGGCACTTTTTTCACAGGACTGAATAAGCACTGAAACAACATATTTCTCGCTGAAAGGTTCAGGCCTGGTGAAATATGTTTGGTTGACCTTCTAAGGAAGGCATACTTCGGAGAGCATTTCATGTATGTGCGCATGAACTGCAAGCTGCAGAGCCCTGGCCACATTTTTGAAATCCGCCTCTGCTTCCGCTGTTTCTACCAACTGGAGCGCAGCTTGCGGTGGATGCTTGACTGGCGCCAGCTCTTGAGACCGCAGCACCACTTCTTGCCGGGTGAAGAGAATCACTACAAGGGGCACCTGACTGACAAGGCTGGATACCTGGACTGGTTCCCTTCCTGCAGGATATATCTCATCGAATGTACATTGTGTTGTCATGTGAATCATGTGTTGTGAGAGTTGTGAGACAATGAATCGGCTGGACGTTCGAAGTTCCATAACTGCCATAACTGCCATAACTGCTCGTTTAGATTTAATTCGACCATTTCGACCAGGATGGGCAGGTGAGCGAAGTGGAGGCGATTCCCAAATCGGAGCTCCAGGGCAAACCTCACGGAAAAGGGCAGATGTTCTATGCAGATAGTGGGGACATGTACGAAGGCCAGTGGCAGAACGGCAAGAAACATGGTGAGGGCTGCCAGAACTATGCCTCAGGTGACAGCTACCAAGGTTGCTATCAAAACAACAAGAAACACGGCCACGGGAGCTACAGATATGCTGATGGTGATTTTCATGAAGGGGAGTATTTTGAGGGCCGGAAACATGGTCCTGGAGTGTATTGGTACTCTGATGGGCGTGTTCTTATGTCTACGTACGACCAGGATGAACAGGCAGGTCCTGGAGTGGTATGGAGTGCCAACCGAAGCCAGGCATGGCTGACAGAGTCAGGAATGCAAGTGGCAGATTTAGATCTTCAGACTGCCGAGAGGAAGGTCAAATCCATCGGCTTTGAACCTCCAACATGACCTGTGAATCTTGGTGAGTCTTGCAACGCTGCGTGACATTTGAACAGCCCTCTTCAAGCTCTGGACTGGTTCTGAATCTTTGCAGCACTGAGAGCAAGCTCAGCAGTCAGCAAATGTGAGGACATTTCTATCTTAATTCATTTATCATATTTATCTTCATTTTCCCTTTCCGTAACAAAACTCATGGAGCAAACTGAGCAAACTGTGCAATTCTGCCTGAAATCCAAGGACTGCCATGTGACATGCGGGCCTGTGCTTTTCAGGTTGTAGTCAAAAGAAATCCGCGTGAATTCACAGCATATCCACCAACGTGGAAAGACTGGTCAAAGAACCGCGATAACTTTTTTCCTTGGCTAAGCCAGGCAAGAAGACAAGACAAGAAGTCACAGAGCAAAGATGCATCGGTGCTTCAGTTGCCTCCTTGTTTGTTCAAATCTTCTCTCATTAACATTGATTGATTATATTGGTAAGTAGTTAGAGTTGTTGGTGTGTGTGTTTGAAGACTCTCTCATGCTCGAACTCAGAAGCCAAACGGAACAACAATACAGCAGCAGTTAATTGGACATGAACTCAGAGCGCTTCCCCACTGAGTGTCTTTTGAGGGATTGCATTTCGCCCGGAGCTCTCCTTACCTTGTTACCCTGTAGAACGAACGATGTATATTCTGCTTGATACCCGGAAAGGGTCAGATCAAGGCTGCCCAGTGGACAATAACTGTGCATTTAGAGCTGCCAGTCTCCAGCCTCGTCAGATCGTTCCTGGGGACATCTGAGCAGATCATGGACATCTCACAAATGTCTGAAGAGGACCCTTATGCTGTTCCAAATAGCACTAAAGGCCTAAAGGCATATGAAGACTCCATGGCTCAACCCACAGCAATAGACCAATCCTATTCAGGCAGAACTGAACGAAGTGGCAGGGCCAACTATAGATCTTCTATCCTTTCCAGATGCCAGGTGGAGGCAGAAGTCAGTTCCCAACTGTCCTTGACAGGAGCAGCTGCAAGCTGCAATGCAGCTCTCACTGCAAGAAGTTGCACCTGCTGAGAGACTGCCGGAGGACTCTGCAATGTTTTTGGCCAAGGATCTAACTGAAAAAAACTGGATACTCTGCAATGTTTCATTTACTATTCACTTACTATTCATTTACTATTCATTTACTATTCATCATTCGAATCTCGGTTCGCATGGCGGTGTCAGGAACCGCGGTTGCGCCCTAGCAGGCCAAAGCCCCGCAGTTTCCCAAGCAAAGATCCGCAGGTCCGCCATGCGATGCCAAGCTGCCAGTGAAGTTGTTTTGTTGCCGAGCTGTGCCAGGATGCGCTTCCAGAGCCCACTCGTGCAACTGCAAAGAAAAAACGGGGAGAACCACGAGGTGAAGCGGAAATGGATCAAAAAGCAGTTGAAGATGCATGGCTTTATACTTTTTGGAAATGTGCAAGCTTGTGCTTTGTAGTAATCTTAATATCTCAATCAAGAAATCTTTTCCAGCTTGGTTTTGAATGAGAATTTCTGGATTCAACAGTACCCATTACTCTCCACCGACCACTTGCCAAGGATTTGCTACAGCTTCTCTTTGGAGACAGTCCTGAGGTTCCGGATGCATTGGCATCAAAACTTATCAAACATCTGAAAGAATTGTGGAAAGAATCTTGATATGTCTATATATATACATAATTATATATAATTATATATATATCATTGATATCATTCTAATATATGTTGTCTTTCCCTTTGGTGATCCTTTCGGACTACCACTCTGACATTGGCGGAGCGTTTTTTTGGGGCCCTGTGCTTTGAGCTTTCAAGCAGCGGTGCTACTCATGATCTGTTGGATAGTCAGCATATGTCAGCATAGTCCCGCCGTCAGGCCGTCGATGTCGAAAGATGGCTGAAGGTTGGATTTACTTGGAGTCAACGGAGTGGCACTGAATGGGGACTCTGGCAGAAGCAAGGAGGACCTTGTTCGCTTCTCAGCACGGCCTTCTGAAGATTCGCATCTGGGGATTGGCAGCATTCTGCCATTTTGCGACGTTGTGTAGCTGTTTCACCACGATTTCACCATGATTTCACAACATTCTCAGCATTCACAACATGTTGAATGGCCCTTGAATGGCCCTTGAATGGCCCCTGAATGGCCCTTGAATGGCCCCTAAGGTGGTGTCTATGCGCCAGTGCAGGCTCACCACAATCACATTAATCACATCTTCATAGCTACAAGCTGCCTCCGGAGGCCTTCATAGTGAAGCACCTATTGTTTGGCGGTGAGCCAATACCTCGACGAAAGGTGCCCTTCCTTTCTGTCGATTTCAATATATTTCAATCATTTTCAATCACATATCATCAAAAAATCACATGAAATCACGTGAAATCAGGCTCGGCTGAGCTCTTGTGTGGAAGTGTGACAGAGCCATGGGTTTGTGCATTTTCGAGATCAAAGAAAGCACAAATTAAATGCAAGTCAGCCAGGAGCATCCACTGGGAACTGGAGCAGATGACGAGGCATGTGGTGCTGCAACAAAAACGACACTTTCGTCAAAGTTTTTTTGGATGCCTTTCGATTGCAAAACTTTTCAGGACGATCGTGGGGCTGTCCTGGCTCACGCGCTGGCGTCGATTCTGTTCCAATGTACTCCCAACTCCTCTTACACGATTTGCCAGGCGGCTCGTCAGACTCCTCGTTTGCACCACATTTTGTTTGCAAAACGACTTTTTTCGACTTTTGTTTTAGACTGGCAGCATCTGGCAGCCTCGCCTCCCTGAAGATTTCGAATTGTCAGTTGGTCCTGTAAGTGCAGCTCTTGGGAAAGCTGTGGCTGTACTTCGTCACCATATGTTCATGTATATATATATATATTATATATATATATTATGTATATATATATGTCATATTATATGTTCCTATCATCTCCATCTAACTCTGCAATGCGAGCTCAATTGAAAGTCCAGGTGCACTTCTCTGCTGAGGGCGATAGCCAAGAAGCCCAGGCAGTGCAGCAGGCGGCACCTGCTGCTGTAGCTGCAGGCGAGGGATTCGGTGTCGGCAGATGTGACAAGCGCAGTCGTAGTTGCGTCGGCGACAGGCCAGGGCTCTAGTGTTCTAGCAGCTACCGTTCGGCAAGTTGCCCGCATTGCAGAGGCTGGGACTAAAGTTCCCACGATAGCTGTCTTATGCTGTCTTGCATTGTGAGTTTTGGAGGCCCGCCAAGTCCTAGAAGAAGGCCCGATTGATGCAGGATGTGCGCTGTGTTTTCCTCAAAAAGGGTGTATAAATTCTATGGATTTCCATGGTATGTGTGGAAGAAAGGTATCTTCACACTTGCATCATCAAACTGTTGCAACGTAGGGGTCGACAGCTGGCTCGCTGGCCCCCTCGGTGTCTTGAGCTTTCTCTTTTCAGTGCTTGTGAGCCGAACGGTGGCAACTGTTACGGAAGTGGCTCGGTCAAAATCGATCTTCGTGTCTTTGAGGCATGGCATGCAGCAAAAGTCAAGTGAGAACTCTTGCATGAGCACGTGCTCTTGATCCATGACAGACTCAAGCAGTCTCAAGGATATGGATGATTCCAGTACGCCATTGATTGGGCGATTTGGACATTGCAGCCAGGATTCGTCAAACGTCGCAGTTCTGAATGTACTGGCTGATTGTCATTGCTTGGCAAACTTGGCTTGGCAAGTTCCAAATCTCAGGAGCTGGTGAATCTGATGCTGATTGGCGAGTCCACTTCGTGACCTGATGCTATTTGATGATGTTTGATGATGTTTGTATATTGTTTTGATATGTTTATACGTACATGCTTGGACTTTAGAGTGTTGCCAGCACTGATCACAACACTTGTGCCGAGCTGCCTGAGGAACGTATTTGATGGCACTCGATGGCTGGGCGATGACCCTTCCAGCGGTTTCCTCGTGAGGCTTCCGTGTTCACGCACTGCCATTGACCTGATTCCTTTTCGGTCCTTTTTTGTCTTCAGATTTGTCAGATTTGTGCGCATGTGCAGCATCAAGCAAGGTTTTTGACTAGCCGAGCATAGCCGAGCCTTCCTTTCTCTGCACAATATTTTGATCAAACCAGATCATCTTAGTGTCTCGCAGGGGAGTTGACAGCGAACGAGTTGGTGTTCCACAAGTTGGTCTATTGAGTGAACTGGAGACTTACAGACTTCTCTCTGTTGGCATGATGCTTTGACTTAGCTTAGAGTCCGCAGCTTTTTCCTATTGACATTGGTCCGAAAAACTGGTCAACCCCATTCCAATTCATGGCTAGACAAGCTCAGTTGAGTTGTCATCAGATCACTTTGTGAACATTGCAATACTCTTGATGCAAAATGCAGGCAGTCAGCCAAATGTGATCATCATCCTAAGCAGTCATCGTGTGAATCGTTCTCGATTTGAGCACAGTGAGTTGAGATGAGTTGAGGCTCTACAAGAACCCCGACTTTCCAATCTGGGTCTTGGCGTCTCCTACTCACTACACCATGATTTTCTCCACCCAAAGATCAGACTCCCAGCTGAGTGAGGAGGCCGTGCAGAGCCATGCAGAGCCGTGCAGAGCTGCCAAGATGTTGTTCATTCGGAGATTTTGAAACTGCAGAAACCCAACCTTAGAAGGAAAAGTCTGAAAGGAGCGTGGGGTTCCACAACCAGAACTTCATAAGAGTGGGTTGGTAGTAGGTAGCGGATGAGCTTGGACCGTTTCTCATATTGAACAATATAGGAGAGCATACAATAGCCAATGCATTTGTGCCTTTGACCTTGAAACCGTCAGTTTGTTGAGTTTTTTACAACATTATAAATACCAAGCGTTATAGCAACGACGAACAGATTGTGAATCTCGATTACCCAGTAGTACATGACTTTCATATGACCTCACCTGACAGGAAGAGGGAAGGACTGGAACCCAAAGATTTAGACGTGGCAACTGCCTTGGCAAGGCCAAATTGGATCAGCAAGTGAAAAAGGTCTTCGTTGAGAACTCAATTGACGAGGGCGGGCTCGCAATGTCCACAAACTTGGGTAGCTCGGAACTTGATTTGTGCACAGTTCAAAGTGGTCGGAAGGGCAGTCGCTGTGTATTTTCATCCTCCAATCTTCTGTTCAAAGCATACAGATTTGATCCTGTGGTGCCACTTTATGAACAGACCATGCACTTTGTGGTGGGCTGCTGATTTTGGAACGTTCTTCACTTTTCTCAGGTAAAATGCTCGAGGCTTTGGGCATAGAGAGCAAAAAACTGCCAGATGCTCAGCAGGACATCGTGCGAGAGGATGTCATACTGCCAGGGCCTTAGTCGGAAGGCCAAGAATGAAGAACCTGAAATGACTTGAAACATCTTGAAACTATTTTGAATTGCACGACTATCACGACTCAGGTGGGAAGATTTTCGGGTTTGGGTTGGTGGCTTGGCTTAGACCCTTGCGACGAATGATGTCTGCTTTGTCTGACGCGCGGCGCTGCGGGTCTTTTGCTTCCACTGTCTGTATGAGGCAGACAATTCAATGTTGTCGCTGCTGACAAAACGTCGGGCAAGATCCAGCTATTCCTTTACGATGGTCAGGACCGCTGCCAAAGGGAACACCAACTTTCCCTTTTCTGAGTACAACTCCCCGAAAGCCCAATAACAAAATGGACATCCATGGAAAATCTCACAAGATCTCCCAACTTTGGCCAAATAGTTTGCCAAACATTGGGACTCCACATTTTCGGAGCAACTGACCATGGCCTGATGTGCGCAGGATCCCCCTGGACCAACCCTGAAGTCTGTGCGGGTGGAGCTGAGCGACATCGACTCTCAACTCATGGAGGGATATGGTGAACCAATGTGAACCATATGGATATGGCTCAAAATTTCAAACCTGGGTGAACCAGATTTCAGTCTATTTTTATAGCATTAACCAGGATTAACCATCTGATCATTGGGCTACCCAATTTTGACCTATACCCATCTATGGCGTCGGATATCGTTGGATATGGCATCGGATATGGCATCGGATATGGCGTCGGATATGGCGTCGGATGTGGCGTTGGATATGGCATCGGATAGTTTAACCGTCTTTTATTTCTGCTGTTTGTGCGGGTTGTGCTGTGCCACTTGTGCTGTTTGTGCTGGTCACTGCTTTTTCAAGTATTCGAAACTGGTCCGCATTGCGCATTGTGATCTGTGATGGTTTGCGACGTATTTCAGCACGATGCCCTTCAGGATCCAGCCTTTGCTTGCGGCGGCTCAGAGGGTGATGCTTTTGTTGCCACCCTCCATACGTTCCTTGTTTGCCGCATGATTTCAGACTTTCCATCCAAATATATTCAACGCGCTGAATATGGTTTATCGTTTGTCTTCGCACAGTAGTACTGGTGCATGTGATCCTGTCTGAGTGTGTCAAAAGTTACGGCCCCGTGGTTGACAGATTTGGGTTATTTTTCCTGGTAAACTATCCCATTTTCAGGCATGGTGAACGTGCAGCATGCTGATTCTGTAGAAGAGGGGCTGCCAGCATCAGCTGCAATTTTCTGAGGCGCTGGCCAGATGCCGCTGTACTGGTGGAAAATCTTTGACAGGAGGACTCCATGATACGACAGAAAGCATGCCTTTGATTCACTCTGCAGTTGCAATGATAAGAATGGCTCAGTTGCAAACTGAAGCTCCTTGGAAGGACCGACTAGCCAACTCTGAGTGGGGCTTTCAGCACTGATGTGCTGGGCAGTGCTTCATTGATCGAGTTGTAAAAAAATGCGCAACAGACCCACCGTGACTTACAGCTTGTTTCAGTCAGTATGTTTTAGCCGGAACAATCCGGCTGGTGAGGCTTCTTGTGTTGAGGCTCAAAGTACCTCTTCAGGATCAGCAATAGCATGTGGCTCGATCAAATAAGTGAAGGCTCTGTAGGCAAGATTAGCCACAGGCGACACCTCTCGAGGAGCAACCATTCTTGGATATTTGAAGCTGAAGCATTTCAAAGCCAGGAGGGGTACATAGATCGTGTCAGCATGAAACAAGGCTCTCAGCCAGAATCAGCCCTGGAAGTCTTCAAGAAACTCTGACTACAGAAAACCACATACACTTTGTCACCCAAGTGGCACTTTGGCAAACAACTGTTACCTCCATCCAGTTCACGGTCTACTTTACCTGATTCATCTGATTCTGTATCATTCTGTGAAGCTTTGACTTGGCCATTGCGGCCATTCAGAGAAAGCGCCGTCTAGCCTCCATGACCTCCATGCGCTGACGCCTCTCGCCATGGCATTCATTTGGCAGCCAATTGTTCCTCGTGTCCCACAGGCCCATGTTGTTGTGAACCAAGCGAGATGGAGAGAGAAAGAGAGCGAGAGAGAGCGAGAGGGCTCTGCATTGTCTTTTCTGGTCCCTGACCTTGACAGCGACAGATTTTTCCATTTTTTGCCGTGGTTTCTCATTGGTTTCTCATTGGTTTCTCGATGTTTCTCCGCCGCAGGAAGCTCTCAATGCGAGGCAGCGGAAGCAGGCAATGAAGCGTCCCAGAACCGGAGAACGACAAATCCATTGGGCCGAAACTCCTGTGAGATGATTGAAATGAAGTTTAGGAGTTTGGGACAAATCCCAAAACATGTGTTTCTGATTGTTTGTGTATTATACAAGACTCAATGGAACTTGATGGATTGTGCTGGAGTATTGTAACAGTCTGACACTTTCCAATCGGCTCATGTGAGCGATTGCGGACTTCCATTGTCAACTGATCAAAAGGAGTCTCCCAAACAGCCCTGCCCAGCGCAGGTGTACATGAGCTCGAATGTTTTCGAGGCCCACAGAGTCACTGAAACAGATCATACAGGATCGAGATACTGCTGGCAAGCTGAAATGTGGTTGACAACGACTGAGGCAGGGTCACCTTCCCAAACGCAGCTCGTCAGCGTTGAAAAAAGGAAGTGAAACCTTAGCCAAAGATTAACAATATGATAATATGAGTACAGTATGGCCTTACTAAGCCTGATTCTTTTTTTGACAGAAGCCACCTAAGAAGGTTTGCTCCCTGCTAACCTTTCTCAGCCACGAAGCTTCGCAGCTTGTGACCGAACCCTATGTCCACATACGACCATATATGATCATGTTGCTCGATGAGCACGTTCAGTTGATCCATCAGAGTGACCGTCTATGACAAGAAGCCTCAGGCTTACTATTTGTAGCATCTATATATATATAGTACTTGTTTTACACTAACCCTTTGTGTGACTTCAAGAAACAGTACAGCATTGCATCGCATCCGAACTTTCACTTTCATGATGTCTCAAAGGAACCATGCATTTTCGATTCCCTGCCCATGTTGTCAACACCAGATGGAATGCATGAACATGAGTCACACGGGAAACCGCACATTCTTCGAGAAAAGGTCCAATGCACTACCCTACCCTTTGACCCTTTTGGCCAGAGCACAGAATGATAATGAGGCTTCGCTTGCGATATTTGATCCATAGTATAGGATTCGGCTGGCTTTGGTTTCTATACGCAGTGTTGGGAACAGAGGAAAGCTGGGTCAAATTGTCTTGGTCGCAAGTGAAAGCCTTGTCGTTCCATTGCTGCCATAAGCTGGGAAACGTTCTTTTCGTTTATCTCCTTACCAAGGAACATGTACCATCCGACTTCGCAGCGTCAGGCACCAAGTTTCGGAGTGTGGCAAGCGAAGTCATTTCTGTGCTTCCCATGTTCACTGAAATGTTCACGAAGCGCTTTGCGAAAACATTTCTACTCTAAGGTCAAGCCCTGGCAAAAGTTCAACAGCAGATGTGCCATCGCCCCCAAACACAGGAGATGGGTGGGTTTGACATGGCATTACTGCATTTTTGACACATCGAAGATCATCAAAGCTTCTTGTGCTTGTGTTGAAATGAAGCCATTCTTGACCAACCGCGGCAGGCATATGTGTTCCCGAATCATCGCGACATAAAAGCAAGGCTCCCCAGTCCAGGGCATATCCTGGAGTTGAGCAAAGTTGTAAAATGAAGAACATACCATCTTCGCACTGCCCCCAGCATTTTCTATTCATTGGACTAGCTTCATATGTAGGCACCGCAGCATGTCCCATCAAGGAGGGATTTTGCGGATACACTTGTCAGCTCTTTGGACCCCTCTGACAACAGAGTGAATTTGCACAACATACATGAGACATAAGAAAGGACAAAAGAAGCAAGCAACATGTGTAACAAGTGCAACAGGTGTAACAAGTGAGCATTGAAGCATCACAAGCAGAAGCTGTGCAGTTCCGTCAAAGGACAGGGATGAGTCGCACATGGCGAGCGATGAGCTCTTCGCCTCCTTCCTGGCAGAGGTCGAGGCTGAGGTGCAACATGGGACAGAAGCGTGACTCCGTGGGACATGCCGGAAGAATCTGTTGCTGACTGTTGCCGTCTTGTTTGCCACATTAGCAAGATATAGCAGCTATATATAAATTTAGCTAACATTGAACATTGAAGCGTGGTTTGAGGCAAACGAGCCAGCTGAGCCACCGACCTTCTTCTGCAAGATGTGAGCCAGTTTGACCACATGGATTCAGCACAGTGGCGCAGATGTGTCATTTGTGTCGGAGCCAAGGAATAAACGTTTCCGGACTGAGAAAGAGGCAGCAGGCGAGAGGCCTGGGTGAAGCCATTTTGTCAATTCAAGAGTCAAAACATGTCAAAACGATGAATTTTGTATACGTTTAAGATGATTTCTTTCTATGGGTTCCTTGCAATCTTTCAATTCTCTTTTATGCATGTTTTTACCTTCGGGAACTGATGAACATTGCAGAGGGAAAGTATCACATGCCTTTCTCAAAGGACGTCAACTAAGCTGGATGTGCAGAAACGACAAACAAGATTTTTGACCGACGACTTGTTGAAAGATCGCTTTTGAAAGGCAGCAAATTGCCGAGACCCTCCGAAAGGTGCCAGCAGACTTGTTTAGCGTCTAGTGGCAGAGCAAGCATTTGCACAAAGCTATTGCAGCTATTGAGTTCGCCACTTTTTGGAATAGGGTGTTCAAATGCTTTTATTGTGTTTGTGATCAAGACAAACGACATCACAGCTTCGAAGTTGCAACTATACAATGCCAAGCATGGCCACATGATTTGAAGCCACAGCAGACCATTCAAACGGAAGGCCGCCTTTCACGGGCAGCTGTCCAAAGTGCGACAAGTGCTTCAAGGCAAGATCTCGTGAACGATTTTCATATCCCCTTTGATGGAATCTGCTTGCACGCCTTTGAATCATCTCTTCAAACTGAAAGATGCGAGGAAGTATGAAAAGCTCTGCTTCAAGCTGTTTCACGGTTTCACGGTTTCACGGTTTCACGGTTTCACGATTCTCCAAAGTTTCGCATCGCCTTTCCTCTCGAGGTCTCGACTGCGTTGATCGGTTGCTCCTGGTGGATTCGTCTGAATCCGATGGCCTCACAGCGCTGCATTTGGCGACCATTGGAGGTGTATGCACAGCACATGTGTCACATGTACAAAAGTTTGTCACAGTATGGCGCAGTGTGATTTGTTTTTCCGTTTTTTGGTTTGTTTTGTCACCCTGTCACCAGCACATGGCGTATCGGTGCTTTTGATGGAAGGTCACAATGCCATTTGTGATGCTTTGCTCGGGGGTCGTGCCGACATAGATGCACGAAGCAGCCAACAAGACACACCCCTGATGTGGGCAGCACATCTTGGCCTGAAACTCAACATGATAGAGACTCTTTGACAGAGGGATTTATATCACAACCATTACTTCAGAGATCCCTGAAAATGTGAAAATCATTGAAGTTCTGAGGTCATAGTTCAGTTTTCAGTTCAAGGTACTTTTCTGAATGGTGAAGCTCTGAGGTCATAGTTCAGTCTGTCAGCTGCTGCTCCACAAAGGAGCTGATGCTTCTTTGCGGAATGCTGCGGGCCAGACCGCAGTGTCTCAGAGTAAGCCTTTGAGAACTGCATCACACTGCACTTTGCTACACTATTTCACACGATGATTGGACCTGCATGGTAGGAAGACCTGTGCGCAACGTTTTGAATTGCTAGCACTTTGAGGCAATGCAGGCGCAGCATAAGGGCTTTCGGAAGATCAAAGACATACTGGAATCTTGGCTCTATGTCCCCCAGAAATCCTACCCCAAAGAAATAAAGAACCAGAATGCGAGGGTCCGCCTAATGTTGAGAAATGAATTATTCAGATCTTGATTTTTGAGGCCCCTTTCACCCTCTCGCACTAAGGAAAGCCATGTTGCCAAGCCACCCACAGGCCGGTTGATTCCATTCGGAAGCTTCTATGCAAGTTACTTCAACAGCACTCTCAATGCTCAAATTGGAGTCCACAGTATGGGCAGCAAGACATGTCTTAGTTCTACAAGATTCTTCTACAAGTGTTTCTTGTGAAATGTAGCCAACGGGAGCCAACGGGAGCCAACGTGGGCCAACGCGTGAAGTCAACTGGATGCCTTAGTCTCCAGGTGCACAAACTGATCCATCCGCTGCCCGTCGCGCAGCAAACCTTGCAGCCGTGGCTGCAGCAGTGCGAGAGGAAGCAGAACGTAAAGAGGCTTTGGCAGCGGGGCAGACATTTTTGAAGAGTCAGCGAAAGACCAAGTGCATCCCTTTGAAATTTTGTGATGAAGTCTTTTGGAGATTGTAAAGCTCGATTTTCTGAATTTGCTGGAAAGTATGCAAGAGCCAACCTATGAAATTCACGTGTAAACAGGAGGACCAGTTCTGGTCCAAGATTCGTGAACGCAGAGAGCGACGCGAAGCTGAAGGGGACAAAGAAGATTTCAAGGAATTTCTTGCTTCTCACTCAGCCTTCGTTTTCTGTGGATTCTGATTATCGCTTTAGGATGAATACTTCTAAAGACCAGCAGAGATGATCCCATTTGCTCCTTTAAGGCATCTACTGCCCACCGCTTCGCAAAGCAGGACTCGTTGCTTGTCCCCTGGGCCCCTGGGTTGTCGGCTCCATTGCCACGGCTCCTGAAGGAGACTGCACCGAAGCCCTCCATTCCTGGGCACATGCGTTGCAACCTCAATTGACAGAATTGACGTTTGCAATTCCGACCTGGGGCGGCTGTTCTGGCCGTATCTCTGGGCACAGAAAGTCTCAGGTCGGCACTATGCTTTGCTGGAAATTGGTGTGGCAGCTGGTCTCAAGTTGTGATGACTAGGTGAATCTGTTTGAATTGGATGTGCAGAAACCTTGATCCAAAGGAGGCTGAACAACATGCGCCAAGGATGCATCAGAAATCGATGTTCGCAAAGCCTACCGCAAGCTGGCTGGGAGCTTGGTGAAACATGATGAAACTGAATGATTATTGCAGCATCAAGCCAGGGCCTTTTGATGTATGCCATTGTATGCCATTGTATGCCCATATCAGGCCCTTCGGCATCATCCAGACAAGCTCCTTGGCACGCATGGCCAGCAGGGCCCCCGCAAGGTACTTGCACCTCTAAGCATTCCGTGGTTTGAGATGTCTGAGATGTCTAAGTCTAGGTCACGTACTATGTCAGGGTGTGGATGTTTGATAGAATGGTGTGGGGATGTGTGGGCTTCCAAGGAATCCACACGATCCAGATGGTGCCACAAAGCGCTTTGCAGAGGCCCGACATACCGTTGTCCGCGATTTGTGTGCATTTCAACTGCCAACGAGTTTCTACTCACTTCACTGATGGCAAGGTTGCCGTGGCCTATGAGACCATTTGTGGCTACCTCACAAAGGTTTGATCAACTCAGGTGGGAATTCCAGGGTGTGCCTGATTGTGCCCCGATTGTGCCCCGATTGTGCTGAACAGCTTCAGCTGAAGCACCACCACCTGGTGGAGTCAAGAGCAAAGATGAGCGAAGTGACAACAGCAGAGGTTTGAGGTGCAGCATGGTGCAGCGAAGCTCATCCGCAAGAGAGATGAGCTGTCATGGACGTGATGGCCGTTGCAGAATCTTCGCTGGATATCCTCACCCGACATCCTCGTCAATATTCGAGCTTGGAGAAAATGATGAAAATGAACCTTGGTGGAAGAACATGTGGAACATTTGCGACCAAACGTTCTTCCACCAAGGTTCATTTTCTTCCACCTGCAGGTTTGAAGCAAAAAAGGAAGTTGAGTGCTTCTCATTCTGCATTTTCCACGCAAGTTCCCAGAACCTGAGTAGCTTCTTGAAAGAGTTCCAAGGTCACGACTCTTTACGGGCACAATGCCATGCCCTCAGAGAGTGCATTGAGCAATGGAGATATATGGAGATGAGACTAAGATGGACTTGCAGAAGCTGCAACGAATCCACCTGAGAGTTTCCAACGAGAAATGGGTCGAAGTTCGAAACCTTGTGGAAGTTTCATGAAGTTTGTTTGACATCGAAACTGACCAAGTCGGGTTTCCTGGCTTCAAGGCTCTGCCCTTTGGAAGTGCAACTCCTGTCCCGTCTCTTTCTTATTCTTGTTTTGCATAGGATTTATCACCCATCAGTCTATCATATATTCTATATACTATATACAGCTGTTTTTTTGGTTGCAAAAGCCGCTTTGTGGAATCTCTTTATCAGCCAAGTGGACAATCAAGCTGTGTTGTTCAAAGAATCTACCTCTCAGGCAAGGGAGCTTGGCAGGTGCACCATGGCATTTTGGGATGCTGCAAACCTGTAAACTGCAGAGAGTAGCTGAAGCAATGACTGGGCAAATGGAAATGGCCGGGGTCAGATCTCATTCTTCTAGCAGGCATCTTGTTCGCACACGAGATTTTGCTTGAAAGCCCATGAAAACACTTCATTTGGTCATGTCAGTTGCTACAACACCTGTGGTGCGTTTCGGTGATCGAAGTCCGCCGCGCACCTGGTGTGATGCACCTAAGTGGTGTAGCTTTTTTTTTCCACGCAGCCGCGAGAACAATTTGTTTCTGATTTCTTTTGATCAACGCTGTCCGGTCTTTTCAGTCCCGGAAGCCTAAATCAGCTTCTTGTCAGTGCTCATTCCGCTAAGGCCCATTCAAGTCGTCATAGCCAATCGTGAAGAAGGCTCCTGCTGTGCAATTTGCCAAAAAGACCTATATATCTTTGGAGCATTTTGGAGCTAATCTGAATCTGAAAAGGCAGAGAGGTTTGAAGGTCATGAGAAATGGATGACTTACTAAATTTGACTTAAGAAATTCTCCTTCTTGATACCACCAGATCGCAGGTGGTCTTCCAAGAGAGTACTGGGGCTCCACCAGCAACCTGGCATGGACAGACTTACGCGGAGAACGTTTGCGAAAGCAGGAGAGGAATGAACGGAAAGAACGGAAAGAACCGCTCCCAGCGTCAGATTGAGATGGACATGAGATGGAAATTCATGGACAAACAAAGACATGGCTTGATACAGGCGAAGTCTGTGTTTTGAGCGGTTGCAGGAAGTGAAGGAAGCAGGCATGAGGATGGATGCAGCGGCCTGAGAACTTTCTAGATCAGCTTCATCCTTGTCTTCATCATCTTCATCATCTTCATCCAAAACCCAAACGCATTTTGATACCCCAAACCAAACCATTCTGTTCTGCAGCCCGTCTGCATCGCTTTGTGTTTTTGTTCGCCAGACGTCTGACCATATCCGACCATCTTGCAACCCGTCACGGCCGTCACAGCCGTCACAGCCGTCACAGCTGCCAAGGCCAGTCAGCGGAAACTACAAGACCTCTCTTCGGAGGCGTGGAGATTCCCCTGATGGTCTGGACAAATGTCCTACGTCCTACGACGTCCTACGACGTCCTACGACGTCCTACGACGTCCTACGACGTCCTACGACGTCCTACGACGTCCTACGATTAGCATGCCACAATCTGCTGGACATCATGACTAATGTATACAAATGTGTGAACGCACTTGGTGCAGAGTGCGGATTGCTGAAACTTTACAAGTTGGTTGCAAAAGGGCCACTTGGCGATTTCTATGCTAAGAATTGCCAAGCAACTGGCTGTTTCCGGAAGGTCTTTGGCTCCAATCGCATGACGCAGGCGAATAATTAAGAGCAGCATCGACATTTTGAGTTTCAATTCAAACCTCCTTGCAACTTACGAGCTGAATATTACCATTCTGAGATTCCATCATGCAAATATAGAGGTCGTGCCTGCAAATTTGAGTTTGTTGAATGGATGCTTCGTGATTTTCGAGAGCCCTTGTAACTCCGCCGCCAGAAATCCACAACTTCTGCAGCACAAGAAATCAAGGCAGCACCGCTTCTGGACTGGGTGGTCACTGGGTGGGGACCGGGCGCTTGGATGAGGTGGTTCTGGATACGGAAGTGACAGGACAGTCTGACAGTCTTCTCCAATCCTGAGTCACAACTATCCACAGACCAAACCAGATGCCGCAACATTTCTACAGTCAAACAAGGTTGTCATTCATTCCAAATCTGATTCAGTTAAAACCAGCAGCTGCGTGAGCTGTCCTCGTGGCTCCCAAAGCAATACCAAAGATCACATGCAGGCAGGGAAGCCATCGTTAGGACCTTGCAAATGTGAAAGGCACTAAAGCCATGAAACCTCAAAGCGAGACTTGTTGAAGCCTGTAGCCATCAGCCAAAGAGCCATTGAGACCATTGGGACAACCTTCATGTGGGGCCTTCTCTATGTGCTGTGTGTCTCATGGAGTTTGGAGGCCAGGTGTGAGAAGACATAGCTGTCATAGCTGACTCATGACACATGGCAAATCCGAAACATCCCATGTAGCATCCCTCGGCAATTCTCGACCCTCAGCCTCATTTGCACAGACGCATGGGGAAGAGCAAGGCAACTCTGTTTGGTGCAACCGGCAAAATTCTTCGACACACAACGACAGGCCAATGTGTTGCATTTTGCATCGCCAGGTTTGTTTCGTGGCAACATGCTGGACACATCAAGGCTGGGGAAAGTTCGGATAGGGGACGATTCGGTGATTCTGCCGCCATTGCCGCCATTGCCAGGCCCTGTGTCCCATTGCACGCGAGCTTCAGCGAAGAGGCCGTGAGGCAACTGGCAGACAAGTCTGTAGCGATCTGTACCAAAATGGTCGCCTTTCCAGCTCACAAGCACATCACAATTTCAAACTGATTTGTCAAAGGATGTCGAAGGTATGGGTAGGTGATGGTAGGTGCAAGGCACTTTCAGTCGCTCTTTTTGGTTTTCATAGTCTCCGTTTTCTCCAAAAGTTTGTCATTTCCTTGGAGTGTGCAAGTACGGCATCCTCCTGCATTCACAGCGCAAACGGTGCATCTCAGCAGGTGAGAGTCGTCGTGCATGAGGAGGCTAGTCTTCACAGACATTGCCCATGCGATCCTTGGCCTGCTTGGAATCCGACCACTGGACCACGTTGAGGTTCGCCATTTGGTGCCCAAGGGTCTGATCGCCTTGAGTGCAGGGTTCCTTGGCTGCCAGAGGATCCTGCATGGGTTTGGGCAAAGCCAGTTAATTACTCATGCTGCATACAGTTTGGGCTCAGGCTCGGGGTCCTTTTGACACTCCATTCCTGCAACATCCCGTGCTAGGCCTTTGCCATGGCCGATGCCCCAGAAGGCTTCAGATGCTTCCGACATTATTTTGATCATCCTCTTGGTCCCAGCTTGCAGGTTGTAGAATTCAGTGGGCTACATTCTGCCCTCGCAGAATGTATTAAATCCAGGGTGTCCTGGTATTGTCCAAACATTGAAAGTGAATGGTTTGTGAATGGTTTTCTTCCAACGTACTGTAAGTTGGAATGCCTCTTATTCGTTGGTATGCAACACTTTTTTGTTGTCCTGAAGATTCCTGTGAATTTTGCTCTGCTCATCCGTCATTTTTGAGGTCGTGGGAGGAGGAGTTGCAGTTCCGACAAGTGCTTTGGGTGGGTCGGCCCACTTTGCAGCCACAGCTTATTCAGTTGAATGATGTTGAATGCACCGGAAGCTTGTAAATTTATACCACGTTGTTTATCATATTACATCATATTGCCATTATTGCCATATGAATTCTTAAACTGTTCAAGTTGCAAATATTTAGATTTAGAGATCATAACTGGAACATACTGGAACCATCTCTATCGTCATTGGAATACCAAGGACCCATCGCCTGAGGGAAGTCCGGAGGTGCCACCCGGTGTTGCGTCAGTCTTCCATGTTGGGAGAGATTTGCGACAAAGATCGGCAACATCTGCTATAAAAGCCAATGAACATATCATCAAACATGGATGCTATAGCATAGGTAGAGCCTCCATGTTGCAGTTTTAATAGTTTTCATAGGGGGTAGGAGAGGTGATCTAAAACCAGTGTGTAGGCCCAACTGTAGGTGAAGCCAATGAGTTCAATTTCCTGCCAGGATGGTGCTAGAAAAGCCGACCTGTCAGAACGCTACTTCAACGGTAGCCAGCAGAGCCTTCTGCGAGGATGGGAAGGGATGGGAAGGGATGGGAAGGGAGACATGAAAAAGCTGGATGAAAAAAGTAAGAAAAGTTGTTTGACACAAAAGAGTTGCGGTGCAGAGCTGGTGGAGCTTGAGTGATACAATGTGATACAAGTGCTTTGCAGATCTTTGCAGATCTTTGCAGATCTTTGCAGATCTTTGCAGATCTTTGCAGATCTTTGCAGGCTTAAATGAGAGCCTCCATCTCCTTCCACGGGACCAGTGGCCCACGCCTGTGAGTTGTTCAAGCGTCAAGACATTGTCACAGTGGCATCGTGTTGGAGTCGGTGTGGAGTCCGTGTGGAGCTGATCAGTTCTGATCAGTTCTGATCAGTTCTGATCAGTTCTGATCAGTTCTGATGAGTCAGTCGAGGCCTGGTCTTCTCGCAATCGATGTCTCCTCTGTTTGAGCTCCAAGCGATCCATTCGTTGCGAGAGAAGTCACCTTGTGATTTCTCTGAGGAACTGACACAACCTAATCAACAAGCTTTCCAGAAGGTCATGAAGGTAACTTTAGTTGAACATGCTTGTGAGCTTTTTTTACTTCTTTAATACAAAGGATCTATCTTGATGCATGTCGGTTTGACATGTTTGACTCTGGCCGCCGCGAGCTGAAGGTGGGCGCTATGGATTTGGCCGAGAAGTTGGGGAAGCCAAGTCTGCAAGGATCCAGAGCACGTCCTTAGACATCGAGGGTGTGACTGCACATCTCCAAACAAGTCCGAAGAATTCTGCAGATTACCGTTTACATCCGGTTGCATTCGGTTGCATTCGGTTGCATTCGGTTGCATTCGGTTGCATTCGGTTGCATTGAATCACAGAATCAAACATGCCTTGAAATTCCTCAGGCTGGCTCTGCGCTTCGCAGTGATCTCAGCCTGGCCAGCAGGGCTTCTCAGAGCTTGCGGCAGTGGCAGTAGCAGATGCTTTGCTTGGAACCCTTGTGGTGCTGATGTAATTGCCAGGTTGGACCCACTTTACAGCACGAGGCTCAGATCGCTGAAGCGAGCACTTACTCCACTTCTCAGCACATGAACGCTAAATTCACGCTGAATAGCGCATCGCTGCGTATCGAAGTGTAGAGTTGCGATTTGAGATGTGCAAAGTTGTGCAAAGAGAATCAGACACTGCAAGGTCTATCGGAGAGCCGAGCACAATGCCTTGGCCAATGCCTCAATGCCAACTCGTTTCGGCGGATACTCGTTTTGCATCGTTTCGCTGGTGTGCTTTTGCACTTCAGGATGCCCTCCGAACTCTTTGCCTTCACGCAATCAGCTCATCAGCAGGCACCCACACGACACATCACGACACATCACGACACATCACGACACATCACGACACATCACGACACATCACGACACATCACGACGCATCACGACGCATCACGACGCATTCGTCATTTGAGTCACTGGTGATGGTGATACGGGGGATACGGTGATCCGATATGGTGATCCCATGGTCGCTGTGAGTTATACGAGTTATCGTGTCTCCCTTTTTCGGGCCCGTGGCACCCCGTGCCCTCCGTGCCCTGCAGTCGTTCTCGGATCGCCTGAAACGCGACCTCTTCAATCGCGCTCTTCCGCAGCTTGGCAAAGAATTTTTCGATGCGATGATCCTTCGCATTCCTGCGCTGTCGCAGGTGGTTCATGTCCTGGGCCGGCTTCCATGAGCCAAGGCTGGCAAGTCTTGTAGCCTTGTAGCTGTTCTGAGAATCTGAGATTCTGACATTTCAATTTCTTTGGAAATTTGTTTACCAGCAAAAAGGCACGACCAGAATCAACTGAATTGAATAAACCAACCAGCTTGGGAGTGAAACTACGATGAGATATGATGAGACAGGCAGTCAGGGTTTCTTTGATATTGCTTGAAGTCAGTATGCAGTATGCTCGGTGTGTATGTGAAGCAATAGCTCAATTCCTCTTCGAGACAAGTTTGGATTGGACCACTCTTGTGAACCACCCCACTGTGAAGGACGTATTTTGTGAAGCAGTGACTCATTATTGGGTGATGACATGCCATCTTCAGGTATTATCATCGCTCACTTGCAAACCTGTTGATATCTGTTGATATTTGCAGGGTTAATTTCGTTTTAAAGTTTTGTTTGAGACCCTTTGAGACTCCAAGTCGGAACAACTTGAAGAGCTGACAGAGGCGCCAAATCCGCCGTGCGTTGGACTTGAAGCCGCTGGAGCTGTTGGAAGCGCTTGGTTCCCGGAGCGAGCTGATTCACTGATCGGCGGATGTTGGAAGGAGAATGTTGGGCAGCTACCATGAAATACAAACACAATATTTCAATATTGTATTATTATATATTCATTAGTATATATATATAATATATATATATATATGTATATGTATATGTATAAAAATATGTGATACATGATATGATATATGTATATAACACAAATAGATAATGAACAACATACATATATAATATACACATTGCAATGAAAAGGAAAACAGGAATAAAACTGCAATACTGTTTCAGCAGGTTCAGGCTGCAAGGCAATCTGCACGCAATCTGACCGTTGCTGGAAGCATCGGCAACGCAGGCCCAGCACTGCTGCAAATGGAGGTTTGAAGCCGGAGAATGTGTTGTGTTACAGATTCCTCGTTGTTGCTGGTAAGAAGCTACAAGACAGCACTGGACGGAAATTTGGATTTCAAAATCCTCAAGTGGCGCATGGATTTGAGGCCGCCCTCTTCTTTGTATCCTCTCCCACTGGGGCCGGGCATCCCGGATGCAAAGATTTTGGTGCACACTGCGTCACTGCGTCTGTACTGATGGGCTCAATGGGCTCTGTAGGCCTTGATCGCCCGCGGCCCCTGCCACCTCGAGTAGTTCTTGTTACATTCTGAGGGACTTGAGTTACGTTTCAGTTGCGTTTCTAGATGTTGTAATTTCAAGTGGATTTCCCATCATTTCTCTCAGGTTGGACCAGTGGATGACTATTCCGCTGCAGTCGAAGAAGCTGCAGAGCTGCCAAAGTGGGAAGCTAAATGCAGAAACTGCTGAGTACATCTTCAAGCACGAGTGAACATATTCAGAAAGCGAATGGACTCGCAACCAACAAGGCATGTAGAAGAATGGCTGGAAAGTGGAAAGACTGTCAAAGCCTCAAAGGAAAAGGAAGGATGTGCAGTTCAACCCAAGACAACTCATGGTTTCCTCTTGACTGATTGCATGTTTTAACTATCTGAAATTGAAACTCGAGAGGGAGACAACTGTTGTTCCATCCTGACAGAGAAGAGGAGTGCCTGCAGTCTTCATCTCTTTGCCTTGACAATCTTTTGCAGCAGCCCTTCAGGTCTATGTCTCCTTTGGCACCAACGTGAAACCGAAGCAACAGGTGCTGGACTTTGACCTGCGCAATGTTAGATGTTTGCTCCTATATCACAGTTTCACAATGTTTCACATATAGAAGGCAAAGGAGCCCTAAGCAGGCAAGTTGGATGACAATCCCTATCCCTATCAACTCCACGTATGTGAGAGTTTCTTTGCTTCCCCCAGCACAGGTTTTCCGCTCCATCTTGGGTGCAGCCCAGCAAGTGGGAGAGGACTTTGTCGTGCCATTGCAATGGCCATCTGGGCCATCTGCGTTCTCGCTTCCCGAAAGTCGCTTGATGTCGCTTGGTTCTAAGCTGGAACCAGGAGGTGAAGTTTCTTTGGGATGCGGATGAGCAGGAAGTCCAGGTACCAAGGGGCTTGAGAGTTGGGAGTTGCTTCAAGTATCCTAAGTATACCCTATGTAGGCCCTCCTGAACGGTCCTGAGTCGGTTGGCTTCTGAGATCAGTTTTTCGGGAGTACGGAAGTGCCGAAGTCAGTGTTGGCGGACATCAGAAGCTGTGGACAACTGCGGTTGATGTACAAAACTGCGTTAGTGGGCAGTGGATTGAGGCACATGCAGTGGCATTCCCTGGGAATGTACACTTTGCGCGTGTGCCAGAGTTCCCAACAGAGAGAGAGAGATTGTGGTGGATGGCACCAAGATACGGTAGCTGATCAAAGCTCACACCATATTGGTCCAGGCCCCAAATTCGGGTGCTGCGTCGTGCAGCGGCTTTCATCACCCATTGCGGCTGGGTGCCTCAGTGAGTGACATATCCAATCAGATCCTCAGGATGTATGGTTTCAATCTCTCTTTAACGCATCTTGGTGAGTTTGCCTTTGACATGTCTTCGTTGCTTGTGGTTCCAATGCTGGTATTCATCGAGGTCTGAACTCCGTGCATGAGGCCAGTCATAGTGCACATTTGACGTTGTGGAAATAGAAAAGAACCAGTTTCATTCTTGGGAACATTACACTTCTCTATACACAATTTTCTTGAAGGAGATAAAAAAGCATCCACAGGGTGTGGCTTTTGAGCTAAACACAGATGCAAAGCTGCAAGGCTTTGCATTTTGGAGTGCCGATGTTGGGTTCCAGACCAAGATGACAACCAGATGAGCAGTTGAGGTCTTTGCTCGTGTGGAGCTGTTGGGTTGTTGAGGTTTGCCCTTTCTGGGAGATCAGCTTGTGACTGCCAGGCCGGATCAGGAAGTCCTTGGGATATCTTGGGATAGCACCTTCTCATGAACCTTCCAACAGACAGAAAAGCAATAGCCACGGGTCAGCAACGGGCCATACGATACCCGATTGGCGTTACCCTTCGACATCGTTCCCTTTAATCAATGTAGCAACTACCGATTTGTAGGCCTCTGAGACTCTGAGCCAGGCTTATTGTTGAAATCGGTGCTGGACTGCGCCTGTCGGCTGGGGTGCTTGAGATCTTGTGCTTAGAACGGCTTTGAAGATATTAAATTAGTCTAGAATCTATTTGAATCTCCAAAAGTCAAAATGAACACAACTCTAAACCAACTCAAAAGCTGCTCTTTGACAAGTGAAGCTTGGACTCGCAGAGCGTTTAGCAGTGACGTTTTTTTGGTTTCAATCCCTGAGGTGCCAGCAATCGAAGCTGAGCAAGTTCGAGAGGCCCACCAGAAGAATCGCTGATGTTTTATTTATTTTCATTTATTTTCATTTATTTTTATTTATTTTTATTTATTTGGAATGGCGTGGGTAGAGCCAGATAAAGGGCAACAAAACTGTTCGATCGCTTCGAGGCTGTGCAAAATCTTCTGAGAACTGCTAGTTTTGCCGTCGCAGCTGCGCGTGCGGGACGTCCACAGCTCGTGTTTTGTTGTTATCGACTGAGAAACTTCAAGCTTCTTGCAGCTTCATGTGATTTAGCTGTGACAAAGGCTTTGTGATCAAGGCATTGGCAGCCTTGCAGGCGCAACACTTGAGCTGTTCCAACATGTCTTCATATTATGTCTTCCATGCAGGTGTGAGGAATCTGAATGATTCTGAATGATTATGAAGCATGAAGGACAAGGGGCCCAAGGGGCTTGTAGTTTTGAGATGTTTTGAGGCTATTTGAATGACAGGTGGAGCTCCCTCAGCTGCAAACTCCTTGGAGATGGCGATGGAAGGAGTTTCTGCCCCAGACGAGGGCCCGGTTTTTCAAATAGCAATCTGCAAAAAATGGACAAATTGGAAGGGAACACTGCACTGAAAGATTGAGATGGCTGCACATGTTCTAGCCTGAGATGTTTTTCCATGCTGAAGACCTACAGCATATGGCATAAGCTAGGGCTAAGAGAACATAAGAGAACAGAGACTTCACTAAATATGAATGAAACATCAGACTTGCACCAGCCGTTTTCACCATGGCAGCATCTTTGCCCATACAGCCACTGCTAAACTGCTCCAGGTTTGAGGGTAAATCTTGAAGGTTGTTCTTGCATCCGAAAGCTGTAGACTTGGAATAGTCAAGAGAAAAGGGAGCAAGAAACATAGGAAAAATAGGCAACGATAGGGAAAAGGCGCGGCTGTATTAAATATCAACGTTTTGTTCAGCAGCTAAGACTATGCCTCGCTGTATGTCGGCTGCACTTCTGATTCGCTCTTAATTTTTCTCGTCATTTGCGGTTTGGACCATGAGTCCATGAGAACGATCTTCAGAGCACTTGTGACCAGAGCACTTGTGACCAGAGCATGGTACCAGTACAGTGGCGGGGTGATGCTGTCACAAGTCCGTCTAGCATTTCCACAAACCAAAACCATGAGTGGCGAGCTGGCCTACTTGAGCCCAACGTGAATCCAATCACAAGTCTGTTGCGTACCTGGTATACCTCCATGGCTTTTGCACAGCTTTAGCCATCTTTAGCCTTGATTGTCACAAAAAAAACAACATTTTGTGGAACCATGGCATCGCAGGTTGATCACCTGGAAATGCTGGTGGAGCAGTGGCCAGAAGCTGTCAGGAACTCAATGTTGGAATCTGAATCGCCTAGAGACCTCGACAGTTGGTCCCAATGGCAGATATGGGCATAAGATATATAGTAGTATGTAATGTAACTGCGTGGCTACACGGCTAAACAATTGAAAACAATTTTTTAAACAAGGTATTCAATAGATCATCGCAGCCGTCTCAGTAGCTTCCCCTACTCCAGCTCTAAGGTATGGTTTCCGGAGCCAGTATGGGTGTAGGAGAAACATGGACGGTTGAAAGCGGCACCACTAGCCACCTTTGACTGCGAAACCAGGGTTGATTTTGTGGGTTTGGGGCTTCCTGATTCTTCCACACATCCTGTAGCCAAGCTGCTGGGCGCTAGACATGTGCGGGGCTATTCGGAGCTAGTCGGACGTCAGGAGAGTATTCACCCCGCTTCGCGTGGGGTGGCCGCCCACACCGCAGGTTTATTTAGGTCCGTGAGAGGGGCTAAGGGTGGTTTTCCCCCGTGGGGGCTCCCCAAGCTAAGAATTTTAACTTTCCCCCCCCGTGGGGGCTCCCCAAGCTAGGGAATTTTAACTTTTCCCCCCCGTGGGGGCTCCCCAAGCTAGGGAATTTTCACTTTTCCCCCCCGTGGGGCTCCCCAAGCTAGGGAATTTTCACTTTTCCAAGCTAGGGAATTTTCACTTTTCCCCCCCGTGGGGGCTCCCCAAGCTAGGGAATTTTCACTTTTCCCCCCCGTGGGGGCTCCCCAAGCTAGGGAATTTTCACTTTTCCCCCCGTGGGGGCTCCCCAAGCTAGGGAATTTTCACTTTTCCCCCCCGTGGGGGCTTCCCAAGCTAGGGAATTTTCACTGTTCCCCGCCGTGACAGCTTCCCAAGCTATGGAATTTTCACTTTTCCCTCCCTTGGAGGCTCTCCAAGCTGCGGAATTTCAAATAGCTAGACAACGACGCCTAGATAGTCCCCCAAATCCCGTGTTCTTTGAATGTGTTTCCATGTTTTTGCAATGGTTTCCTTCAATGCACGGTACTTTACACTTTTGTCGCCATAAAACCGGTCGAAAACATCATGTTCGACAATGCTTCCAATTCCCTTATCTCCCCAACCGTTGAAAATACCGCTATTTACAGTGGTTTCTTCAATTTTTCCATGTGCCAATGCCGGTAGCCAACTCCAACATATATATAAGAAATCCTTCCAAAACATTGTTTTTGACAGAGTTTTTCCAATGTTTCCAGTCAAACAGACGGTAATTTACACGTTTTTGCCATAAAGGCAGTAAATCCTTCCAAAACATTGCTTTTGACAGTGTTTTTGTAATGTTTCCAGTCAAGCATACGGTAATTTACACGTTTTTTGCTATAACGTCAGTCCAAAACACTTGTTTTTGCAGGGTTTTCAATGCTCTGGCATCCAAAAACCCTGCAAAATCTTGCTATGTACAATGTTTTTTTCATTTTTGGCCGTTTTTCCATTGCCGGAAAGCTACCAAAATGACCCAAAATTCCATTTCAATACCCTCTTGCGCTCAGACACCCAAAAATCCTCGAAAAATGTTGAAAACACCACCGTATTCTGGTCTCGGTGCGAAACCGTTTTGGCCCCCCCCCAGCTAAAGCTGATATAGCGACTGCTATATTAACAAATGTCATTGAGCATTTAGTGTTGCTGTTTTGCCCCCCAATAAGCACGCCTTCACCGCCAAAGCGGTGTGGGCGGATTTTTTATGGAGGCTATTCTCAGCGGAGGTTGCGTGGAGTACTGTAGTAATCTGTAGTATACTGTATTCAACTGTATTCCTAGCAGTTCAATACAAGCATGATTCGTAGAGTGTCAGCTTCGGGGTTCAATTGGCGATGAGTTGACCCCCATGAGCAACTGAGAAACTGCCACAATTGGAGGATCCCCGAAAAAGATCGAAAAAGGGTGAGCATCCCAGTCATGTGACAATGCACGTGCTATTCATGATGTTCACCGCAGATTCAACGACCCACGCTACGCAAAAACTTTCCAAGGAATTAATTTCCACAAATTGCTGTACGCAGATGACACATTAATTCTGACCAAAAGCTTTGCCAGTGCTAACCAATACTTGCACCTTATCGAAGAAGAATCTCAATATTTGGACCTCAATCTAAACAAGTCAAAATGTTGCTACATTGCTTTCAACTGTCGCGGTTCTATCGCTTTCCAAAATGGGGATCCCATGAAGTCGACCGATGAATCTACTTACTTAGGAGCTTCTATCACTCGCACGGTCAATCCCAAACATGAAATAAAACGACGAATCTCAGCTACGATGGCCATTTTGAAAAAATTGGACATTTTCTGGGGAAAAGCCCAATGCAACAGATCTTGGAAACTGCGCGTTTTCAATGCAGTAATTACTAGCAAAGTTCTCTACGGCCTAGAAACCTTGGAACCAACTGAGTCAGCTGGACGTCTTCTTAACACGTTCCAGCTCAAGGGCTTACGAAAGATACTGAAATTACACACAACATACATACAACGCCACAACACCAATGAATACGTATACCGAAGGGCAAATGAAACCCTTAACGCGCCGACTACAGGTTTCGATCGAAAAATCAAACCTCTGACCGAAATTTTGGAGGAAAGAAAACTCAGATTACTCGGACACATCCTCAGGAGAGACAGAAACCACCCTCTTCACCAAGCAACTTTTTCAACAACATCCGCTCTCCCGAGAGAAACTGAAATGCGAAGAGTTGGAAGACCCAGGCAGTTTTGGACCAGTAACAATATGCAAAAAGCATGGGAAGTGATAAGAAACACAGACCCATCGGCACCCCAAATCCCATTCGACAGATATAACAGAGAGATACGGGAACGAATCATCGAACAAGCCCATCTTTACCAGCCCCCTTTTCACAAAGGAAACGGTTGAAGACTACACAGCTCAAACTCAGTGTGAATGACTCTCAGTGTGAACTATTCTCAATGTGGAGCTTTCCAGTGTGAGACACTTTCAGTGTGAACTACTCTCAATGCGAAATATCATCAATGTGAAGGCTCTTAGCAATAATTGGAAACTTGTTCTCTATACTTTCACAAGTGAGCGTGGCCTTAGGAGTGTGTATATCTTTTAATTCAAAGCTAGTTAGTGCCTACGACCTTTAGCGTTGACCAAGCTGGAGGTTTTGGCAAAAAAAATTCCCAGTCACCAAATGCTACAGTACACATAATGTACCCATAGTGTTGATCAAGTGAACCCCTTGGGCTGACCTGCAGACTGGGGTGGGAGAACCCTCAAGAAACGAAAGTTGGCCCGCCTGTGACGCCTGTGTGAAAGGAAGATATCTGGCAGGAATAAAGCCAGGGTAGTGCGCCAGCTTGGGTTACGCGCATTGTTCCTGTAGCAAGTTGCCACCAGTTACCCTCACTGCTCCTGGTGATTGGTTTGGCTCCCGAGTTTTTCAGGTTGTTACGAAACAGTATCACCGGGATGGTCACCCAAGTAGACGTTTAGTCCTTAAAGCTGGGCACAATGCTAAGCACTGAAATGAGGGGTGATTACTTGAGATGCTTGATGAAGAGAAACGAACTCTCCCCTACAGATCCCCACTATAATGAAATGGACTGAACGACACCCTGAACATCCCCAAGCAACAAAAACTATTTGGATTTGCCTGATTTAACGTGACATGACGATCCATGATCAATGTTTCGGGTGCTTTTGGAGTTTGAGGTCCTCAGCACCTTGCTCCCAAGCAGCATCACCGAGTGGGTTTGGGGACTTGGGGACAGGTAGAATTTTCCTAGTATGCCGACTGGCTTTGCCTCCACGAAGCGGATCCAAACTAATTGATGTGCAATATGCAACGGGTCCAACACCAATGCTGGCCAGCGCCAACTCCAAGAGCTGCCGCACTGCCCTGATGGCACGCCAAGAATAGGAACATATAGGAACCAGGGATGCCTGCGTTCATTCCTTCGCGATTCGCCACGTGCTCACTTCCATGTCCTCGTGAGGTGGGTTAATTCCTTCGTGGTTAGAATTGTCTAGCATGCCCCAGGGTTTCAACCACCACTATCGAGGAGCAGCCGGCCACCGTATCTCTAGCATACAAATTGCCCTGACTTGATTCTGACTTGATCCAACTTGTCCTTTGGAGTCATGACTCCAGGCTCGGCTGTGGGATGTTCAGCTGGCCCTGTTGCTGGCTTTGGCGGTGACTCTCGTGGCCAGCTATCTGTGCTGGGAGCTGAGAGAAGGTGCGACAGGTTACCGAGGTCGGCGGGTGGTCACCTGGCATGCGAGCGGTAAGGTTGCTGTGCTGTGCCGTTCTCTGTCGACGCGCCAAGTGCGGCATTGCCAAGTAGCAGCAGCATGGAGCCCCAGTGGGCCCAGTGGAGCGCAGTGGGACCCAGCGTGCGATGGAGGGAAACCTTGCGTATTTGGTGGTTGACGCTTCCTGTTGTGTCCAAGGTGAAAAGATTGGTCCGCCCAAGAGCAACAGGCAGAACGTTATCATACATTTGAGGCACCTTCAGTATTCTTCAGTGGCATTTGCAGGAAATGGCTTTGACTAATGTTGCCATTTGTGGAGGAAGAAGCGTGCTTAAGCTTGCTGGTGATTATATACCGCTGTGACCTTGGCAAGTTTGCAGTGCTTTGTGGCAAAACGTTAGTTTGATAAAATCGAAAGAGACCATGCGTAGCCAGCCTGACCTGCCAAGGTCTCAGTGCTCCTCAAGAAGATGAGGCCTCCATCCATTCCAATGCTGATTTTTTAACGTTCTGCTTACGCAGAAAACCCGAAAGCCGTCCATACTGTATCTTCCAGTCATTCTCATGATTTTTCTTTTCATTTTCAACCATTGACTCAGGATTCTTGCCTTTGCCCGATCTGAAAACACACTTTCTCAAAGCAAACAGCTTCATGACAAGATTGTAAGCCCTTAGTGCTCAACTTTCCCTCTGAAAACAGCGCATTCCTGTGGCAGTATGGCCATGAAGTTTCTGTTGACCTTTGTGACCCTGGCCTTGGCAGCTGCTGAGACAGTGGACTCCACTTTGGAGGCTCTTGAGGCGGATGATTCATGTGCAGCCGGGGGAGACTGCAGCCTGGAACTGAACCAGCTTCGTGGCATGAAGGACGTGAACTACCATGATGCTTTGATGGAAGAGGACGAAGATGAGGAAGCCAATGTGGAAGGTGGCGCATGCACCAACAGCAAGGACCTGAACTTCTGGAAGAAAAGCGGAAGGAAGAGCTTCGACCCTTCACTGAACCAGTGCGGCCGTTCCTGCGCTGCAGGCTTCGCTTGCACCAAGAGCTGCATGCAGGCAGGGCTTTAGCGCCTTTAGGGGAGGCAAAATCTCGTTTGTTTGATTTGTTTTGGAGAGTTGGACCACCTTTGCATGGTTGATGGAGATGTAATATAGTTGGATAGTTGGGTGATGTTTGACTGGGATGGCCATCACCACCCCTTTGGCAGGGAAAGGGTTACTCCGATGGTTGTGCTAGCTGCATGGCCAAATTGGTGGAGTGCTCCCGCGACAAGTGCATGAACCAATGCATCAGCAACGACAAGAGCGCTGCCTGCACTGGTTGTGTGAAGAGAGGCTGCCGTCCAGGCATGAAGGCTTGCAGCGGCCTGAATGCTGGCGGCCACTGAGGGCACAGTGAACGCCACAGGCTGTCCATGGCCCATATGTGGTCATGAGAATACCAGGACTCCGCTCGGCCACATGCAATCGTTTCAAACATATCTGTGCCGGGTTAGAAAAGGAAGCGGCTCTTCACTGTTTGACTTTGACCAGGTTTGTTGCATCAATTTTGGGGATGTTGGGAGATTGAACCTAGAGGAAGCTGTGCTAATGGTACTGTTTCGGGCTGTAGGAGCATTCTTCCTTGCTCTTGTGGTTTGTTTGTACCTAAGGATCCTAAGGTGTAAATATCCGAGAGTTTGCTTTTGCACACTGGTCTTTTGTCCATTCAGAGTTTCAGCACGCCTGAACCATGGAATCTTTTCGGGGCATGCGAGCTGGAAGCCCTTAGTGCTCAACTTTCCCTCTGAAAACAGCGCATTCCTGTGGCAGTATGGCCATGAAGTTTCTGTTGACCTTTGTGACCCTGGCCTTGGCAGCTGCTGAGACAGTGGACTCCACTTTGGAGGCTCTTGAGGCGGATGATTCATGTGCAGCCGGGGGAGACTGCAGCCTGGAACTGAACCAGCTTCGTGGCATGAAGGACGTGAACTACCATGATGCTTTGATGGAAGAGGACGAAGATGAGGAAGCCAATGTGGAAGGTGGCGCATGCACCAACAGCAAGGACCTGAACTTCTGGAAGAAAAGCGGAAGGAAGAGCTTCGACGAACCAGTGCGGCCGTTCCTGCGCTGCAGGCTTCGCTTGCACCAAGAGCTGCATGCAGGCAGGGCTTTAGCGCCTTTAGGGGAGGCAAAATCGTTTGTTTGATTTGTTTTGGAGAGTTGGACCACCTTTGCATGGTTGATGGAGATAATATAGTTGGATAGTTGGGTGATGTTTGACTGGGATGGCCATCACCACCCCTTTGGCAGGGAAAGGGTTACTCCGATGGTTGTGCTAGCTGCATGGCCAAATTGGTGGAGTGCTCCCGCGACAAGTGCATGAACCAATGCATCAGCAACGACAAGAGCGCTGCCTGCACTGGTTGTGTGAAGAGAGGCTGCCGTCCAGGCATGAAGGCTTGCAGCGGCCTGAATGCTGGCGGCCACTGAGGGCACAGTGAACGCCACAGGCTGTCCATGGCCCATATGTGGTCATGAGAATACCAGGACTCCTCTCGGCCACATGCAATCCGTTTCAAACATATCTGTGCCGGGTTAGAAAAGGAAGCGGCTCTTCACTGTTTGACTTTGACCAGGTTTGTTGCATCAATTTTGGGGATGTTGGGAGATTGAACCTAGAGGAAGCTGTGCTAATGGTACTGTTTCGGGCTGTAGGAGCATTCTTCCTTGCTCTTGTGGTTTGTTTGTACCTAAGGATCCTAAGGTGTAAATATCCGAGAGTTTGCTTTTGCACACTGGTCTTTTGTCCATTCAGAGTTTCAGCACGCCTGAACCATGGAATCTTTTCGGGGCATGCGAGCTGTAAGCCCTTAGTGCTCAACTTTCCCTCTGAAAACAGTGCATTCCTGTGGCAGTATGGCCATGAAGTTTCTGTTGACCTTTGTGACCCTGGCCTTGGCAGCTGCTGAGACAGTGGACTCCACTTTGGAGGCTCTTGAGGCGGATGATTCATGTGCAGCCGGGGGAGACTGCAGCCTGGAACTGAACCAGCTTCGTGGCATGAAGGACGTGAACTACCATGATGCTTTGATGGAAGAGGACGAAGATGAGGAAGCCAATGTGGAAGGTGGCGCATGCACCAACAGCAAGGACCTGAACTTCTGGAAGAAAAGCGGAAGGAAGAGCTTCGACGGTTCACTGAACCAGTGCGGCCGTTCCTGCGCTGCAGGCTTCGCTTGCACCAAGAGCTGCATGCAGGCAGGGCTTTAGCGCCTTTAGGGGAGGCAAAATCTCGTTTGTTTGATTTGTTTTGGAGAGTTGGACCACCTTTGCATGGTTGATGGAGATGTAATATAGTTGGATAGTTGGGTGATGTTTGACTGGGATGGCCATCACCACCCCTTTGGCAGGGAAAGGGTTACTCCGATGGTTGTGCTAGCTGCATGGCCAAATTGGTGGAGTGCTCCCGCGACAAGTGCATGAACCAATGCATCAGCAACGACAAGAGCGCTGCCTGCACTGGTTGTGTGAAGAGAGGCTGCCGTCCAGGCATGAAGGCTTGCAGCGGCCTGAATGCTGGCGGCCACTGAGGGCACAGTGAACGCCACAGGCTGTCCATGGCCCATGTGGTCATGAGAATACCAGGACTCCGCTCGGCCACATGCAATCGTTTCAAACATATCTGTGCCGGGTTAGAAAAGGAAGCGGCTCTTCACTGTTTGACTTTGACCAGGTTTGTTGCATCAATTTTGGGGATGTTGGGAGATTGAACCTAGAGGAAGCTGTGCTAATGGTACTGTTTCGGGCTGTAGGAGCATTCTTCCTTGCTCTTGTGGTTTGTTTGTAAGGATCCTAAGGTGTAAATATCCGAGAGTTTGCTTTTGCACACTGGTCTTTTGTCCATTCAGAGTTTCAGCACGCCTGAACCATGGAATCTTTTCGGGGCATGCGAGCTGGAAGCCCTTAGTGCTCAACTTTCCCTCTGAAAACAGCGCATTCCTGTGGCAGTATGGCCATGAAGTTTCTGTTGACCTTTGTGACCCTGGCCTTGGCAGCTGCTGAGACAGTGGACTCCACTTTGGAGGCTCTTGAGGCGGATGATTCATGTGCAGCCGGGGGAGACTGCAGCCTGGAACTGAACCAGCTTCGTGGCATGAAGGACGTGAACTACCATGATGCTTTGATGGAAGAGGACGAAGATGAGGAAGCCAATGTGGAAGGTGGCGCATGCACCAACAGCAAGGACCTGAACTTCTGGAAGAAAAGCGGAAGGAAGAGCTTCGACGGTTCACTGAACCAGTGCGGCCGTTCCTGCGCTGCAGGCTTCGCTTGCACCAAGAGCTGCATGCAGGCAGGGCTTTAGCGCCTTTAGGGGAGGCAAAATCTCGTTTGTTTGATTTGTTTTGGAGAGTTGGACCACCTTTGCATGGTTGATGGAGATGTAATATTGTGAACTGTCCATGGATTCATGCATGTGCCAATCTCATGCTGCGACTGCCGTCGCTCCTTTTGGCTGAAAGGCCTTGACCCGAGATAGCGCTACGCTGCAGGATAAACCGGATGTCCTTTTGATCGTTTGCCAGCGGTGGACGTTTGACAGTGGGAGCGGAGTCCTGAGTTGCTGATCCGCCGAACCTTGCTGCGCAACTTCACCTGGTCAACTTTTGCATTGAGTTCTCGCAATCATTGCGTGTGATCTTAGCATAGCCACGCGGCTTGGGCTGGGAAACTGCAGTGGTAGTGAGACTGGAACTTGCAGTGCTCGCAATCAGTGCTTGTGATCCTTTTGACACCTGCGGTATCATTTTTGGATTGCGCTGGCTGTGAGTGCGAAACTGGTGGACATAGCCTTTCGATCTAAGATCTGTTGCTGGTTGCCAGTTTGTTTACACCTACTCCAAGGACTTGCCCTAGTTGCTCTACGGCTTCCTCCTTGTCGAGCTCTTTTGCATTTTTGTGTTTGAAGTTTTCACCTGCAGGGCATTTTGCCGCAGCTGGGTCATGGCTGAGGAAGAAAAAGGAACTTCAGCCTGGCATAGAGTCCCTACCTGGGATGGAAGCCCTGCGACATGGCGGGCGTTCAAGCGTGAGATGGCTTGGTGGACTTCCTCGCTGAATCTGGAGGACACCAAGAAGTACAATTTGGTGGCGAGATGGCTGCTGAGGCAGACAGGTGCGGTGAGGGCCCGAGGTGAAGAATTCGAGCCCCATGAATTGGAGTATCGAAAAGAAGTTTCCACCATAGACTCTCTGACGAATGAGAAGGTGATCACAGTGACGGAAGACCCTTTTAGCTGGTTTGAACAAGCTTCTGAAGGCTTTGGAATCCTTGTGTGGGAAAACGGAGTTGGATAGAAAGGGTGAACTTAGAGGCCATTTCTACTTGGAGCTGAAGCGGAGGCCATGCGAAAGGTTGTCAGAGTTTTGCACTCGCTTCAGAACCTTGGTGGCCGAGATGAAACAGGAGGGCATTGTTCTTCCTGATGGAGAACTTGGATGGTTCCTGAAATCGAAGCTTGGTTTGGATCCGTTGAGGTCTCAACTTCTTGAGACGGCATTGGCTGGCCGGGAATCCTATGATGCTGTGGAAGGTGAAGTTCTGCGGTTGTTCAAGGATCTGCATACGGCTGACCCTTTGTACCGGAAATCCAACTTGACTTCGGATGGTAAGGGTTCTTTGTTGCCAAGGTTTTTGCAACAGTCTGGAACTACTTCCTCTTCTAGCAGGACCTCCTACCCGAGCTCTTCAGCCCCTTCAGTTGCAAGCTCTGGCCAAAAGTCGCTCCGATCCTTTGCTCCTCGTCCCTCCTCAACTTACAGAAAGCAGTTTCAATCTGGACCTCGCCAGGCACATGTTGCGGAGTTGGATGATGAAACAATGATGGAAGAGCCTGAAGATGTTGAACCAGATGAAGAAGGTAGTCCTGAGGGTCACCATGCGTTTTCACTTGAGGAAGTTTTGCAAGCCGAAGCTGAAGGACTTGCGGCTGAGTTGGAACAGGCAGAACATGAAGGAATAGATGTTGATGTGCTTAACGAGCTGGAAACAGGTGTTGAGCAGGCAGCTGAGAGTCTGATCACTATGCGTGAGGCTCGTGGGAAGTTGGCTGAAGTCCGAAATGACCGAGGTTACGGAAGGACCAGTGGCAGTTCCTCCAGTCCTGGAAAGGGCAAACCTCATGGCAATCAAGCGACTGCCAGAAAACAGAGTGGCAAGCATCCATGTTGGGACTGCAATGAACATGGACATTGGGCAGGTGATCCACAATGCCCCAAACCTGGTGCTGGCCTTGGAAAGAAACGCCAAACTTCTCAAGGTCGTCATGTGAAGATTGCCGAAGCCTACAATACTGAGCTTGTGGTTGGGCCTCCCCGTGAAACTGCTGCCGCAAACGTTGTGGAACATGAAGTCTCCATGGTTCAGCTGGACCGTGGACGGAGCCTTGATGAAGCCTTCCAGAACTCCCAATCCAAGTGTGCGGAGGTGAATAGTGCCAATGAGCCCTCGCTCTCCTGGGACAAAAAGCTGGTTGGTGCGTTGGACTCTGCGTGCAACCGAACTTGCACCGGCACTACATGGTTAAACAGCTATCTCCTCAACCTCAAGGATGCTCCCCCTGAAATCCAAGCTTTAGTTTGCCATGAACCAGAGAAGGAGACCTTTCGTTTTGGGAATGGTGCCACCAAAGTTAGTTTGGAGCGCTGGCGACTTCCAACTATGATCGGTTCAACCTTGGTTTTATTTTGGACTTCAGTGGTGCCAGTGAGTTCTTTGGGTTTGCTTTTGGGCCGAGATTTCATGGATGCCATCGGCGCTGTTTTGAGTTTTTCCAGAAAGGCATTGCGATGTGACCACCTCAACAGTGGCGTGATTCCGCTCAGGCAGTTGCAAGCTGGGCACTTCATGCTGCCGCTGCTGCCGGAGAGATGGTGCAGGCCTGGGTTGCAAAGATGGTGTCGTTTGGGGCAAGACAATGTCATTGAGTTGCAAGTGAGTGGAACAGAATGGGTTCGTCGAAAACTTGCAGCACAAGGTTTGATTCCATGCAAACAACATGAACATTTGGTGACTGAATGGAGTGAGAAAGCGGCTGATGTGAAGTTTTCGGGTTTGCAACCTTTGTCACATGTTTTTCAACCTGCCCCTGCGGTTCAAGTCAGTATGAAGCAGGGCAAACAGCCTGGTTCTCTCACGTCTCCATCCTCTCCTACCAGTTGTGTTCGTGATGCAAAGACCTCCTTTGGACGGAGGCAAAGCGTTGACAGCCGCTCGTGCGCTGACCAGATGGCGCAGAATGGTGGCACGAAAGTTCGAAAGGGCCGTTTGGCATGCTTTTGGACAGCTCTTGTGGCTTGTGCAGCGGCCTTACCTGAGGTTCCTGCCGTATCCGTACCAATCAACAAGCTCTCCAATTGTTTGGGCGGAACAAGCGGACTCAATGGTGAAGTCAGGAGCTTATGCAAGAAGGCACTTCCGCAGAGCCAAGATCAACAAAGCCTTCACTCAGGTGAATATGCACGAGTGCATGCAGCTGCGCAACCGCATGGGCATAGAGCATTGCTTTGTGGAAGACCCCATGCTGACTGGAATGATGGCAGCCCGATCCAACAGGGGCCTCAACCTGAGACTTCGAGCTGGAGTGATTGCAGAAGCCAAAGCCGAAGCCAAACGCCTCAAAGACGAGAAGGCCAAGGTGGAAGCAGTCAGGTCGTTGATTGGACCGAGAGGTGGATTGCCAACTCTTCGCGACGATTTGTTGCGCCTTGCAACTCTGCTGCATGTGGAGATCGCAGATCGCGACACGACCGAGGTGCTCAAGACCAAGATTCGTCCAGTGGTGGAAAGTTTGAAGGGTCCTCTGGCCGAAGTGAAGTCAAGCGGATCTTCAACCGAGCACTTCGAGGTTGGCACTCCCACTGCGGCCGCAAAGGCCAAATCAGCTCCGAAGCCTCAGCCAATGGAATTGCCAAGTCCAGTGCAGCCAGAAGCTAAAATGTCGAACGAAGAGCTTCGAGCACTTTTGAAAGAGCAAGAGACCAAGTACACCACCATGATCAACCAGATGTACCAGCACATCATGATGGTGCAAAGCAATGCTGCTTCAATGATGCCTCCCCTGACTATGGGAGATCTTCCGGATGCACAGATGGCTCCTCAAGGTTGGACAGACGAAGAGATCCAACAGATGAATGCCGAATGTCAGCTGGAGATGGATCGCCAAAGATTCGAAGCTCAACACGGAGAATTTTCCTCAATGAGCGATGCCCTCAGTCTGATATCTCTAGCGGAAGGCTGGGACCTGACGCAGGAGACGGCACCTTGAGCCTCTCCGAAGTGAGTTCCTCTATGACAGGTGTCAAGCCTGGCCAACGGCAGCTGATCTCTCAAGCTTGGGAGAAGCATGTGGCAGACCGGAAGAAAACTTCAGTGACCAAAGCTCAGATCAATGATGCCTTTGAAACTATGTGGACGGCAGAAATGGAATCCTTCATGAATGAGACCTTCCTGGCCAACATTCATTTGCCCTCCACGACTCCTGCAGTTGCTGAAGTTTATACAACGAATCCTGAAGGAAGCACAGAAGCGTGGACATTGCACTGGTCCACCCATGTCTTTGGAGACAGGCTGGGATTTTCTGAATCCAATGCACCGACGGCAAGCCTTTAGATGGGTGCGAGAGAACAAGCCTTTTTTTTTGGTTTTGGCATTTCCTTTCAACTTTTGGACTTTGTTGCTGGGATTGAATCCTCCAAAAGATCCTGAAGCTCACTATGAGAAAGGCATTACTCTCCTCCGTTTTGCATTGCTGCTTGCTCAAGAGCAAATCAGGCATGGCCGTCACTACATTTTGGGGAACCCTGCTGGCTCTAAGGCATGGAAACTTCAGGAAATGTTGGAATGGTTGGAAAAGTTTAAAGCCTTGATGGTGAAGTTCGATCAATGCAGATTTGGGCTTCGTTGCGGTGCGACTGGACTTTTGCACCAGAAGCCGACATGTTTGGCCACTTCTTCTCAGGCCGTGATTTCAAAGTTTGTGAACAAGCGTTGCATGCGCAACCACTTGCATGCGCAGGTGATTGGAGGTAGCAAAGTTACAGCTCCTGCGGGGCGGTACCCTCCTTTGATGGCACGCGCCATCGTTCAAGCTTTGGAGGAACAGTTTGAGTTTGATTTTGGTCGGCAGTTGGCTGACAGTGTGAATTTTCCAAGCCATGGAGTTCAAGCTCTGGAAGATGAACTCGATGCTGAAGTGGAAGCTGCTGGCGGCAATGTGCCGCATCCTCCAGATGAAGGTGAAGCCGTTAGATTCTTGGATGATGACAGTGGCTCAGATGTTGCAGTTCCAGAGCATCCCAAAGCAAGCCTCGCTGTCATGCAAGCTGTCAAAAGATTGCATGAATCAACCGGACACAGAAGTCCGAAGCGTCTTGCAAGAGCTTTAGCCATCAGTGGCGCTCCTGTGGAAACAGTAGTTGCAGCAAAAGCCTTGAAATGTGATGTTTGTGCTGAACGCCGCAAGGCAAAACCTCCAAAGCCGGCATCATTGCCGACACCCAAAGACACCAGTGACCAGGTCTTCATCGACCTCTTTCATGTGTATGATGCCGCAGACACCAAGTATGTCATTGTGCACATGACTGACTATACATCCAGATATCAAATGGCAGGTGTTTTGGATGGAAAGTCTTCAGCCGAGGTGACGTCTTTCATCAAGCAGAACTGGCTTCCATTGATGGGTCCACCACGTGTTTTGGTTGCTGACCATGGGTGCGAATTTGTCTCCCATGAGTTTGAGACCTTTTGCGCTGGCCTTGGGATCTATGTCTATTTTACTGGCATTGGTTCTCCAAGAATGGTGTTGCTGAGCGATCTGGTGGCGTGCTGAAAGCCATCTTGGGCTCCATCGTAGCTGGTCATACTGTGATTGGAAGTTCACAGATGAAAGATGCCTTGGGCGAAGCTGTGATGGCTTACAATTGCGACATTTGAGATTCAGGTTTCTCTCCAGTGCAAGTTGTGACTGGCAGGCAGCCTCGTATGCAGGGTGATGTTCGTGGTGGAATCCAACAACGACTTGCTGAGCACTCCCTGGTTTCCTCTCATGCCAGCATGGCTCGTTCCATTGCCATGCGTGAGACAGCCAAACTTGCAATGACCCGGCTCCATTTTAGCCGTGGACTGAGACGCGCCGAGCTTTCCAGATCAAGGACAACAACTTTGACTCAACAACCAAAGCCTGGCGACATTGTTTACTTCTACCGTGATCAGAAGTATAAAGGTCGACAAGGCAAGCGAATCCTTGCTCTACGACGTTGGCACGGTCCTTCATTGCTTGTAGCATGGGAGAGGTGACAAGTATGTTGAAGGGCTGCGAGAGATTTACCTGGAGAATGTGGCCGGTGCCTCTGATTCACCCAAGCTGCCATTGCCTGATGGTTGCATTGCACGAATCTTGAAGGGAGTTTTTCGACTTTCTGATGCTCCTAGGCAGTGGTATCTACGTCTCAATAGAGCCTTGCTTCAACGTGGATGGCAGCGCAACCTGGTCAGCGCCATGTTGATGATTTGTTGTTTGGTGGAGACGCAGTGGCAAAACAGAGTTTGCTTGACCTTGGAAAAGAACTTGGTTTTGGTAGTCTTGAAGAAGGTGAATTTCAATACTGCGGAAAGAGAATCAAGCAAGATGTGCAAACAGGCACCATCACTGTTTCGATGGAAGAGTACCACTCCAATCTACATCCCATCAAAGTCCTCACCGAGCGCAAGAAGGATGTGCACAGTTCTTTGAATGCTGGCGAGTTGAAGCAGTTGCGAGCTCTTTTGGGTTCCTTGCAATGGTTGGTAGCACAAGTGCGTCTGGATATGGGCTATCACCTCAGTGTGCTCCAAGGTGAGAAGCCGTGCGTTGGCACTATGCTGCGTGCAAACGCCTTGCTCAAGCGCTTCAAGGACAATCCAGGGTTCAGTCTAAAGTTTAAACCCTTGAACTTAGCTGATGTTGGAGTTATGGTTTTAACAGATTCCTCCCTGGGAAATGTTCGAGCGAATAATGGATCGCCTGGTGAAGAGCCTCTGGAAAGACTGTACTCACAGTCATGCTACTTTGTGCTGCTGGCTGAGAAATCCTTGATGGAGGGCAAGCGTGGTGGCTTTGCTGTGCTAGATGCGCGTTCGCATCGCCTACCGAGAGTATGTCGATCGACATACGCAGCCGAGCTCCTGGGGACCAAAGAAGGTTTTGACGTTGGACAATTTGTCCGTGGCCATATAGCTGCAATCATGGGGTACCCGCTCCTTAGCCGCAATGTGGATGCAAGCACTGACTCCATTGGGCTGACTGTCGTCACAGATGCGAAGGATGTGTATGACAAGGGCAGCAGCGATACCCCGAGCTATGGATCACAGAAGTCATTGGCCTTCACGGTGGCTTGGATCCGTGGAATGCTCCAGCGTGCCAACACAAGCCTGCGTTGGACCTCAACGGAAAACATGTTCGTTGATGCTGGAACGAAAGATATGGACTTAGATCATATGCATCGAATTCTGGATGAGTGCGAATGGTGTGCCAAATACACCTCTTCCTTTATCAAGCAGACTAACAAAGGGAACAAGATGCGCTCTGCCGAGACCTGTCCTGAGCCTTCAATTGTTGGCGAGCCGGTTTCTCCGGAAGATGCCCTACTGCCTCACCTGACAACCCTGAGCGAATGTACAGGCTGGCATGAACGTAGTGGCTATGGTGTACATGTAGCTAGGAAAGCCCGTAGCTTCCGAACTCCATCTCCCCGGTTTGAGGCCACAGATTTTCCTCACCGGACGACTTTTGCCAGATTGGACTTTAAGAACGGTCATTGCGAATGGCGTAAGTTGGAAGATCGTGAGAACTATATGGATTTGCAGAATCCCCAAGCGTTGTTTGGTACAACAGCAGCCGTTCTTGTGACCTTCTTTCATCCAAAAGGCCGGCATGAATCCACAAAAGAAGAAGATGGACTGTGAACTGTCCATGGATTCATGCATGTGCCAATCTCATGCTGCGACTGCCGTCGCTCCTTTTGGCTGAAAGGCCTTGACCCGAGATAGTGCTACGCTGCAGGATAAACCGGATGTCCTTTTGATCGTTTGCCAGCGGTGGACGTTTGACAAATATAGTTGGATAGTTGGGTGATGTTTGACTGGGATGGCCATCGCCACCCCTTTGGCAGGGAAAGGGTTACTCCGATGGTTGTGCTAGCTGCATGGCCAAATTGGTGGAGTGCTCCCGCGACAAGTGCATGAACCAATGCATCAGCAACGACAAGAGCGCTGCCTGCACTGGTTGTGTGAAGAGAGGCTGCCGTCCAGGCATGAAGGCTTGCAGTGGCCTGAATGCTGGCGGCCACTGAGGGCACAGTGAACGCCACAGGCTGTCCATGGCCCATATGTGGTCATGAGAATACCAGGACTCCGCTCGGCCACATGCAATCGTTTCAAACATATCTGTGCCGGGTTAGAAAAGGAAGCGGCTCTTCACTGTTTGACTTTGACCAGGTTTGTTGCATCAATTTTGGGGATGTTGGGAGATTGAACCTAGAGGAAGCTGTGCTAATGGTACTGTTTCGGGCTGTAGGAGCATTCTTCCTTGCTCTTGTGGTTTGTTTGTACCTAAGGATCCTAAGGTGTAAATATCCGAGAGTTTGCTTTTGCACACTGGTCTTTTGTCCATTCAGAGTTTCAGCACGCCTGAACCATGGAATCTTTTCGGGGCATGCGAGCTGGAAGCCCTTAGTGCTCAACTTTCCCTCTGAAAACAGTGCATTCCTGTGGCAGTATGGCCATGAAGTTTCTGTTGACCTTTGTGACCCTGGCCTTGGCAGCTGCTGAGACAGTGGACTCCACTTTGGAGGCTCTTGAGGCGGATGATTCATGTGCAGCCGGGGGAGACTGCAGCCTGGAACTGAACCAGCTTCGTGGCATGAAGGACGTGAACTACCATGATGCTTTGATGGAAGAGGACGAAGATGAGGAAGCCAATGTGGAAGGTGGCGCATGCACCAACAGCAAGGACCTGAACTTCTGGAAGAAAAGCGGAAGGAAGAGCTTCGACCCTTCACTGAACCAGTGCGGCCGTTCCTGCGCTGCAGGCTTCGCTTGCACCAAGAGCTGCATGCAGGCAGGGCTTTAGCGCCTTTAGGGGAGGCAAAATCTCGTTTGTTTGATTTGTTTTGGAGAGTTGGACCACCTTTGCATGGTTGATGGAGATGCAATATAGTTGGATAGTTGGGTGATGTTTGACTGGGATGGCCATCACCACCCCTTTGGCAGGGAAAGGGTTACTCCGATGGTTGTGCTAGCTGCATGGCCAAATTGGTGGAGTGCTCCCGTGACAAGTGCATTGGTTCATGCATCAGCAACGACAAGAGCGCTGCCTGCACTGGTTGTGTGAAGAGAGGCTGCCGTCCAGGCATGAAGGCTTGCAGTGGCCTGAATGCTGGCGGCCACTGAGGGCACAGTGAACGCCACAGGCTGTCCATGGCTCATTTGGTCATAAGAATACCAGGACTCCTCTTGGCCACATGCAACCGTTTCAAACATATCTGTGCCGGGTTAGAAAAGGAAGCGGCTCTTCACTGTTTGACTTTGACCAGGTTTGTTGCATCAATTTTGGGGATGTTGGGAGATTGAACCTAGTGGAAGCTGTGCTAATGGTACTGTTTTGGGCTGTAGGAGCATTCTTCCTTGCTCTTGTGGTTTGTTTGTACCTAAGGATCCTAAGGTGTACATATCCGAGAGTTTGCTTTTGCACCCTGGTCTTTTGTCCATTCAGAGTTTCAGCACGCCTGAACCATGGAATCTTTTCGGGGCATGCGAGCTGTAAGCCCTTAGTGCTCAACTTTCCCTCTGAAAACAGTGCATTCCTGTGGCAGTATGGCCATGAAGTTTCTGTTGACCTTTGTGACCCTGGCCTTGGCAGCTGAGACAGTGGACTCCACTTTGGAGGCTCTTGAGGCGGATGATTCATGTGCAGCCGGGGGAGACTGCAGCCTGGAACTGAACCAGCTTCGTGGCATGAAGGACGTGAACTACCATGATGCTTTGATGGAAGAGGACGAAGATGAGGAAGCCAATGTGGAAGGTGGCGCATGCACCAACAGCAAGGACCTGAACTTCTGGAAGAAAAGCGGAAGGAAGAGCTTCGACCCTTCACTGAACCAGTGCGGCCGTTCCTGCGCTGCAGGCTTCGCTTGCACCAAGAGCTGCATGCAGGCAGGGCTTTAGCGCCTTTAGGGGAGGCAAAATCTGGTTTGTTTGATTTGTTTTGGAGAGTTGGACCACCTTTGCATGGTTGATGGAGATGCAATATAGTTGGATAGTTGGGTGATGTTTGACTGGGATGGCCATCACCACCCCTTTGGCAGGGAAAGGGTTACTCCGATGGTTGTGCTAGCTGCATGGCCAAATTGGTGGAGTGCTCCCGCGACAAGTGCATGAACCAATGCATCAGCAACGACAAGAGCGCTGCCTGCACTGGTTGTGTGAAGAGAGGCTGCCGTCCAGGCATGAAGGCTTGCAGTGGCCTGAATGCTGGCGGCCACTGAGGGCACAGTGAACGCCACAGGCTGTCCATGGCCCATATGTGGTCATGAGAATACCAGGACTCCGCTCGGCCACATGCAACCGTTTCAAACATATCTGTGCCGGGTTAGAAAAGGAAGCGGCTCGTCTCCAGTGTTGTTCCGTTGTTCCTGATATCCATTTTGATGAAGACAAGAGTGACATATTTGATTGTTTTGCTTCTCCCACTTAGCCATTGTGAATGTTGCAAACTGAAGAGCAGTAAGCCTTTTTCAGCAACACCTATCTGGTGTCGAGGTCGACATCAAGTGCCACCACCAGTTGAACGAGGAGAATGAGAAAGGCCTTTCGGCTCAGAACGCTGCAACTTGAACTTTTGACAAGCACAACACTTTGCACACCACATCAAACCTATTTGCAGATCGGTGCCAAGGAGAGGATGAGGTTGCAAAGCTTAGCTGCTGAGATGAGATGGTGACCCACGGCAATATCTCCTTCATTTTCAATCGAGCAATTGAGATTTGAAGCGCGCAGCAGCAATGTCCGCATCATTGGCAGTTTCAACACTTGTTGTCTGCAATTTCTTGGCTGGAGTCGGTTTGCTGACGAAGCGGCTCAAAAAGCGGCTAGTGCTGTCAATCGAAATGTTGAGAGACCTGAAAAGCCGTGGAAAATTCTACAAAATTAGACTTAGCGGATGAACCACATATTTCCACATTTGCTCTGCAGGACCACTGCAGCGAGGCAGCTTTGAAGGACCGACGTGCTCGCGGAAACAGACAGGCCTGGGACGAAGTACGTTGTTATGTCGGATGTCATACAACCCAGAGAACCAGAGAATACTTCCATTAATATCTAAAGTAAGTGAATCAAGTGGGTGACCGACATAAACCAAAGTGACTGCTTTGCTTTTTCTTCGATGCACACGGGATTACCTAGCATGCTCCTTACTGTGAAGGCTACTACCCTCAATGCAAGCGAGCAGAAGTGGGAAAGTCTGGCTGCTTCTGTTGGAAGCCAGTTCAGTCGGCACCTTTCTCAGTGCAGGGGAGAGACGATCTTTGGCACATTTAAGTAGAGACGAAGAAAGGTGGTAGATGCTGTTTTGATGGTGCAGACGCTGGAATTATTGGGAAGTTGCTGTTGGATCTGTTGGCAAAGACGAGCAGAAACGTCACCCTCAGAGCAGTTCGAGCATTCGATCTCTGATCTCAAGCCCAGCTTGTACAAAGCAACTACGGATGGAACAAAACATGAAACTTTGACCAGAGCAGAGTTTTCACCAAGACAGATGTTTTTGGCACTCAGTAGCTTTCCTTCTTTGTTTACCTGTTGCATATTTTGTGCCTCATCGCTTTAGCTCAGACTTGTCCAAAAACAGATTTGCAACGATTTACAACGGTTGGATATCAATGATTTATATTTGGTCATTGGAGACAGACAACTTATGACAACTTGAAAGGTCTGCCATCTCAACAACCAGCGGTTGCACCTTCGCTCCGAGTGTTTTACTCGAACCTCCATGACCTTCGCATTGCCCGGAAACTCACCGGTAGAAAACGATGGACATTGATGGACTCAATGCTGGCGCTGAGTCTCTAGAGATGGCTGAATCAGGTGACCGACTGGGTGAGAAATGGTGTGAGAAATGGTGTGAGAAATAGTTGAAATGGAAGAATTTTGAGATGGGTTTGAGATGACGAACCTTCGATCTGTGATGAGGCGAGATCATTTTTAATAAATTTTCTGTAAGGAAACTTGGGCCCTTGGGTGTAGGGGCTGGACGTTTTTCCACTTGGATTCCAATCGATCTCCGTGGCCGGTGACTGCCTTGTGCAGTTACATCCCACGAGAGGTACAGTTGGACATTGGGGCAGCGACCCTCGCAACATGGCAGAATTGACACTCTGCCAATGCCAACTCCAGAACGTGGCACTGATAGCAGTGTCAAGCTAAGGCATAGCGACCATCGCCTTGAGCCGTCTTGCAAAGCGAGGAGAAGCAAACGAGGTCAGCAGATTGTTGGACAAATTGCTCCATTCGGGTGCCTGGGCAATTATGGCAATTAGACTTATATAGACTATACCTTCAATCGTGTTGAATGGGGTCTTGACCCATACCTACGATGTGGATGAACTGAATGAACTGAAGGTCTGCAGCTGGATGTAGTGCACTGGGGTGCTGCAAGCCGGGCTTTTGAGCTGGAAAACCAATGGAGGCGCGGCTTGTTTGGTTTCAGAAAGGAAATGCCAAATTATGATGCTTTAGTGATGAGGAATTGAAGAATGGAAGAGTTATGTAACCGAACTAATCAGAAGTCATTCGTATACACACTGAGGCAATCGATTTCTATGGTGCAGCTTGGGCGGACGCTTGAGATCCCTCCAAACGAGTTTCTCTTTAGTTCTGTCACTTGGCCAGTCACCTTGCACTTGCGGCACCTTGTGGCAGCTTGAGCTTGTTTATTTCTCGTTGATCTTGTTCGTCACCTGAAGACTGGACGACTAAGTAAGGCAGTATCCAGTTGTGCACGGAACGAAGCATGGTCGATGGGCTTGAACCTTGTCAGTGAGGGCTCGCACAGATGCGGAATCAATGAGACTTGGCGAAACATCGCTGGCCATCTATCCCTGCTGATGACATGCTATGATTGAAAAGATGATTGGGAACATTGTTAACCTACAATTGGAATGATAGATAATAATAGATAATGATAGACAATGAAAGATAATAATAGATAATAATAGACTGATAATAATAGATAATAATAGATGAACATAGATACTAATAGATAATAAGATATAATAATAGATAATACTATATAACAATAGATCATAATACACAATAACAGATAATAATAGATGATAATAATAAATAATCACAACTAATAAAGATGATAATCAATCAAAATCATAATGCTACTACTAATAATGATTATAATGCTAGTAATAATCACAACAATAATAGTAATGATAATAAGAATAACAATAATAATAACAATAATAATTATAATGATAATAACAAATAACAATAATAATGATAATTATAATAATGATGGTACTGTAATAACAAATAGTAATAATGACAATAAACATAGTATCAATTAATATATATATACATATACATATATAGACTATAAACTATAGATCACTAAAGATATCTTTCAATGGAATGGGTTATTGGGAGTGAAAAAACCGTTCGCTTTGAGGCGGTGGATGTTGTGCCATGTGCCGCTTATTCCAAGGAGTTTATGAACGTTGGAGCCATTTCTGCCTGCCACCACTGGGACTTTGCGGTTCACCTACTGGAGATGACTTGTGAGCCTTGGCCTTGACTTACATCAGACTGTACATCTACAACCCATTTTCTTGCAGTCTAGGACAGTCTAGGAAAGTCGAATGCAATGTCTTCTCGTTTGTACTTGTTGCACTTGCTTAGATACCAAAGACAAAGAGACGAAGAGACGGTGTAGAGGGTGTGTCCTACTCTTCAGGACTTGCATCTTCAGCCAGGACAGGTGGCATTTGGTGCCACCATCGGAGCTTGCTCGAAGGCAACATTTTCCTTTTGATGTGACAAATTTTGTGGCTTTGTCATCAAAAAAATCCCCAAATCACCCAAATCCCCCAGGGTTTGGAAAATCATGCGCACCATCTTTGATCATTTTGGATACTATCCAGGAATGTCAGGCAAAGATTGCAGCACCGACACTTTCATTCTCAGAGCTTCAGGCAGACCACTGGCGAGCAGCAGAGAGCCTTCTCCAAAGTGCTTCGGACGCCTTGAGATGGCAAACGCGGCAAGCAATGTGCGGGCAAAAGAATGAACGCTTTGTCATGCCGCATAGTTTCGCAAATATCGTGGATTCCAAACCATTCCTTAATGTTTTTCGGCCTGGCCGAAACGTACGCCTAGCAATCATTTGTAGTTGATTTTCCTATGAAAAGTTAGAACTTCCATTTACAAGGAATCTTCAACTGCCATGTTTGATTACCGGAGGGTAGATCAGCTGTATGTTTGGCTTGAGATGTAAGTGTGGACAGTCTACGCACTCTACGTACCTGATGTCTCAGGTATGTGGGATGTTCCTCGGTGACTGGGCGACAGCTGCGTCACAATGCTGAAACGGAGGGCTGATATTCGCAGACTTTAGATGCTTTGAAATGCCTTTAAGATCTTTAAGCGCCTGTCAGAAATTTGTTTTTTTCAATTCATTGACTCGACTACTTTTCTTCAGGACGCTTGTGGCTGTCAATTCCTGCTGTGCTGCATGTGCGGGGGCGAGACGCTGGCGCAAATCCCTGACACACCTGCACCTTATGTGCCACGTCGCAGATCCAATGAGTTGACAGTTATTTGAGCAAGGGTTGTTGCCTGCCAATCAGAGAATGGTTTCTGCCAACATCGAATGCCCGTTCCTGCTCAGGCCGGTCCTGGCGTTGCAACCCAATCTCATCTCTTTCAATTCTTCCATGGCTGCATGTCACTTGTGCAGCATTTGGGCAAAAACACACATATTTTCTGAGTGACATGCCGCAAATATATGTAAATATAGCAGTTCTATCCAATTCCGCAATCTATGTGGCAAAGGCTTCTTGGGTTTCTTTGTTTTGTAATGCCATTCGGGTTACACCATGTTGCGTGCGCCTTTGAGGTGAAAAAGGCTACGAATGGGAGCGTGGCCTCATGATCTTAGCTTCAATGGAGGTGGCTCAAGTGGTGCCAGCCGCTGGTCTGCAAGAGGTTCCAGGATGCTTTTTGGGTGTGGCACGACTCACCCAGACACGCATTACGCGCATTGTCATGACAATCATCCTGGACACATTTTTTGTTCTGAAGAAACGATATGTGATGACAGCTGTTACTCAGGAGATCATCAGTTTTGGCTCAGCGATCAGCGCATGTGAGAAGGGAGGACAATGGCAGTTGGCTCTACATTTGCTGCGGCGAATGAGTGCAAGGCGACCTCCACCATAAACTTGAGCAAACAGCTCTCTTTGACATGCCACTACTATGTCTATTTGGTCTATCCCGGTGGTCCCCCATAAAAGGCATGATCATGCGACTACTATGTCAAGAACTTTGCAGCAATTCAACTTCCATGAAGACCTTATATGATCTTACAGCATCGTAGCGTTGGTCTTACGACTTCAAAATTCCGAGCTGTGATAATTTCAACCCGCCATTCGACATGGTTCTTGGCCTTGCTGCATCTAAGGCACCTCCGAGCCGATGCGGTGGCGCTCAGTGCGGCCATGAGTGCCTGTGAAAAGGTGCCGTGTGGACCTTGATCGACCTTCCATGACCCCTGGATCCGGCAAATCGTTGCCAGATCCATCGCAGATTGTCCAGTCAAGTCCAAGATTCCAATCATTTCCATAGTTCATGTAATTCATGTACGTCCATGTCAGGTCAAGTCCATGTCAAGTCCGGACCAAGATTTGGGCAAGGTCCATATCAAGAAGCAATGGCATTCCTGATCAACCCGCCAGTGTCACAGATATGTCACAAATATGTCACAGATTCAAGACCTGAGAAGTCTATGATCAAATAATCGCCAACGCGTGCTGTACAATGTCTCCTTGATAGCAGTTGATTGCTTGTGAAGGCCGGAGAGTGGCAGACAGCCCTGGCACTGCTCCAGCCTACTTTGTAGCTCTGCTGCAGGAAGAATGGTTCAGCACATTTGCATGTTTCCAAAGTGGTAGCACGGACAACAGTACCAAAGTATTGGGATTCTATTTGCGCACGGTGCAAGGGAAACTTCGCGCACTTCGAGGGACAGGGGCTGCGCCTTTTCTGCAGCCTTGGGAGCTGCAGAGCATGGCATGGCGTGGGCTATGGCCCTGGCGCTCTTCAAAAGGGCGCTCGAAGAGCGTGTCAGTGCATCAGGCAGCGGCAGCAGCGATGTCATGGCAATGATTTGCCGCCTGTTGAATCCTTGCGAGGTATGTATGCAGGAGCTGTGGCCAGTGCCATCCGCAAGGCTCGTGGCAAGGAAGCGGCAGCACCCTGGCGAAAATCTTAATTTTTATGGCCCTGGTTAGCCATTGAGGCAACCTCTATCCTTCTGAGGTCGACTTCCTGAAATGCTCCAGACACTTGTGGGAAGATGGACCACACGAGGCCGTGGACTTCATGGACTTTGCACTTCAGTCTGTTCAGTGTTGATGTTGACAGATGTTGACAGATGTTGACAGATGTTGACTCGAATTGATGCGGCAGGCTCGCAGACCTCTGCCGGGACTCTTGTGGAGTGAGCTGCTTAGGTGTCACGATGTGTCAAGATGTTTCACGATGCGTCACGGCATCTCATCACTGTTCCGAGTTGAAAAACGCCCAGGCCGTGTGGAAATCCTGGGCAAAGCATCGGGACTTGTGGTGGTCTCCAAGGCTGCAAACGTTCGCACAGAGCCTGTGATGAATCGATGATTTGGCTATCGCACTTGAAGACTCGTGAAGGTTGAAAACAAAGCACTTGGCACTGTTTCTGAGGAGAAGCTGGTTGATGCAGCCTGCAAGCAGATGCAAGAGGACAGACCATGACATACTGTTTCGCTGAAGAGTTTGATGTTTGAAGCTTTAAACCTTAATCAATCTTTGTAGGTGCTTCTTGATGCAAAGATGCTTGGAACAAACATTCGACACATTCTCTGGCTCAACAAAAACGGTCGGCTGCGGCATGCAACTTCAGCAGCCTCAGAAAATCTTGTCCAGGAGCTATTTGTGGTTTCACGACTGGACAGACCCACCTCTGGCCTTCTACCCTTGGCAACAAGTCTTCAGGCAATGAACTGGCTGCAGGCCGCACTTTTAGGGCAATCGTGTTGAAACTTATGAGTTGGACTCCGAGTGTACATTGGCAGCCCTGAGTTTCGTAGCTTGTTCTTATTCTGCTGGCGTTTGTGGCTTGATGCCAGGCTCAATTTGCTGCCAGACTCGTGTACAAGGAATATGCTCCTCGGCCAAAAGAAAACAAGCCAATTCAGATGGTGCAGAATTCTGTACACCAGATCCGAGGGATCTAATAATAGCCTGAAGGAGAATAAGACTTGGACACTCCAACCTTGCCTCAAATGGGCTCCCATTCCACATCTTTCCACACTGCCAGGTTTGTCTCTGCGAGGGCAAATCGCTGGGCGACATAGGCGGGGATCGTGACATAGTGAGAGCAGGATAGAGCAGGTTATCTCCCTGGAGGTGCCGAGGGAACCATTGACAAGCCGCTGCGTTCTTGGATTTGGCCCGGAGAAGTCGGAAGGACTGGGGTAAAAAGACATAAAAAGACGGTTGAATTATGTTGAATTATGTTGAATTATGTTGAATTATGTTGAATTATGTTGAATTATGTTGAATTATGTTGATTATGTTGAATTATGTTGAATTATGTTGAATTATGTTGAATTATGTTGAATTATGTTGATTATGTTGAATTATGTTGAATTATGTTGAATTATGTTGAATTATGTTGAATTATGTTGAATTATGTTGAATTATGTTGAATTATGTTGAATTATGTTGATTATGTTGAATTATGTTGATTATGTTGAATTATGTTGATTATGTTGAATTATGTTGAATTATGTTGAATTATGTTGAATTATGTTGAATTATGTTGGATGTAATTTATGTAAAAAACGTATGTATGCTGTAATACTGTATGCATATGAACCTATGGTACGCAATATCTATAATTTGCACGTGCCACTTGTCCTTGTATAGTGACAATAACGCAACCCTGTCAAGGACTGAAGTTGCTTCCTTCGGGCGGGAAGCTGTTACTGACTATCGCGTTGTCGAGCGCTTTGGTGCAGGCCATGGGATGCCAAGAACCCATGGGTTGCGATTCTGCAGATTCCCACCAGGCCCATCGGAATTGATGCTACTTTCAGTGCATCCGCGAACAGGCAAGGATCATGCTTGAAATGTGGACATGTCTTGGCGTGGATGATTTCGTCCATAAATCTGAAAAGGATGATACCGAGAAAACGTATTTGTAGGATATCCATGTTTCACCTTGCATTTTCTCGTTGCTTCACTTTGATTTACTTCGTAAATGTATGTCACATGTCACCTAAGGACCTAATGTCATGTCACATCGTGTCACCAATGGTGTTGCAGGGCGCATGCACCAAATTCGAGCCCACCTTGCCAGCATCAACCGTCCAATTGTGGGCGACGAGATCTACGGTCCCTTGAGCGCATTTCAGCGGTGGAGAGCATCATAAAATGTAGATAAAATATCATAAAAACAATGTAATATTAGTATAATATAATATAATATAATATAATGCAATATGTTCTAATCATCATACTATCATAGCCATTGGTCAAGAATTGAGGCCCGACGTTTCTTTCACTTTTTCTTTCACTTCTCTTGTATACCAGCCTCTATATTGTCTCAGGTGTGGAGTTTCCGTCTGCAATTGACTGTGGTTCGGTGTTCGATTCCAAAAGTCTTGCAAAAGTCTGTACACAGGGCATCCTCAGCTCAAACTCCTTTGATTTGGACTGCATTGTTTGAAGAAAGCAGAGTTAAGACACTGTGTATGTTTTCAACGGCCATTGCAAAGGTGATCGGATGTTTTTGCACTGCCGGCATCAACGCTTCTTGGATTTTGCAGCTTCACCTTTCGAAGTGACGGCTGAATTGCCCAGCGAGCTGCAAGACGTCCTGGTGAAACTGCGACAGTCGCGATGAGACACGGCATCAGATCCATCAGGTTCCGAAGGGCCTGGAAGTTTAGAAACAAGGCAAGGCAAGAGCACTTGCACTCGTTTCAAGTAATGTGGCGCACGCTTGGCCTTCAGGGCACGGTGAGGCATTGCCAGTTTTACTTCAGAGTATGGCGTTGCCGTCACTTTATCGATCCAATGACTGGCCTCTGCTCCAAGCAGCGGAAAGACCAGAATTTCTGAGCCACGACTCAAAAGACCAGCCGCAGACTTTTCTCAATGAGGCCACGCAGCCACAGTGGAGTAGGTACATGTAAGAATATTGAAGGAGTTTCCAACTGGTACCCCGTAGCACACTCCTACACGTACGATATGGCCAATTACGGCCATACCGTATGACAGTATGCAATTGCTGCCCAGGTGCGAAGAGAACGTGAAGCCTCGCAGTGCGAGTGCTGATGCACGCCAGGCCATGAATTCTCACGAATACCTGGGGATAGTGACGATTCCGTGCCAAATGTCTCAAGACATTGAGTGTTGATAGCAAGGCCCAGCGTAAACAAAAAACTCTGCGATAAGAACATGTCTGCCAATGTCTGCCAATGTCTGCCAATGCTTGCCATATCTTGCCATGTTGTGTTTGCCCCTTTGGGAGTGTGCTTTGACATGCAGAGGCAGTGATGTTCCAGGGCAAGGGGGTCATGATTGGATCAGAGGTGCGACCTATTGCGACGTTCAGACGATGTGATACTGTATGTGACGACAACGATGTAGTTGAATTTGTGGCAGCAAAGGTTTGATTCTTGATTAGTCCGAACTCAAACTGGACAGCAGGATCGAATCAATGACCACCGGCGGCGAAGTGAACGAAACTACTCTGACCTTTTTGGCACTGGCAGTGCGAGGCAGGAAGGACTTTTTAAAATGCTGCTTATGAGGCTGTCAAAATGTCAAGATTGTCAAGGGCTTACAAACTAGGGACCTCAAGTAGCCCCCGGTTTTCCTGGCGGCTAAAATCATCCATTAGATTAGCTTCCATCACATGTTCAATGAAAACTAGCCATTTTTTCATCATTTTTGCATCATTTTTCATTCCCCAGATTGAAATAGTGGAGGCCCCTCTCGCTGGGTGAAGCTGGACGTAGTGAACTCCATGCGGCTGCAACCGCATCCTGGCTGGATGCCACCACAGAGACATCTGCGAGGAGAGCGGAAACTGCTGTGACACAAACTTTGGAAACTTGGTTATTGATGGTTATTGTATAGCACAATATGTGTTGAAAAATATTTATAATTTAGAATTTATAAATATTTTTCAACACATATTTGTGCTATACACAACCACTATTGAATACAATTCACCAATAATGGTGCACAAACATTAGAATAATGATATCATATAGTTTCAATTATTTTCTTATAATATTATAGGGATTGATGTGGTATAATAATGGTATAACGGTATACGGTATACCTATGATAGAATACTATATTATCTTAGATTAATAATTGATAAATGGTCATATACATATCATAGACTACATATTTTGACACTGGGCAAGTGGAAACTAGGCTTCTTTTTGCATTTCCATCTTCTGATCATCTCGGATGCATCGAGATTCAAAACTGTCAACTCATTTTTACACGCCCAAACCTGCCAGGAATTTGGAACGACGAAATGGCGACTTGGACAACACGTTGATGAAACGAAGCAAGCGTTGTTTTTTGGACCAACCTATGTCACCCAGTATCCATTGATGATTTTCCCACAATTGATCATTTCCTACGAAAGATTGAGAGTTCCTGCTGTCACTTACGAGGTTCTAGAGAAGGCAACTTGGTCTACGACGCGCACGCCAAGTCTGTGGAATCGGCCCCTTGGATTCCAGCATGACTCGATGGTGTTGCATAGAGACCCTGAGGACCCTGAGGACCCTGAGGGTATGGGAGGAACAACTCATGGAACCTTTGAAACAAGTCATGGAGCATCGGAGCATCGGAGTCGCATCGCTGCGGTCAGATTGCCTTGCCACTTTCTCCGCGAAGCAGTGCTAGGCAGCTGGGGGCGATTTCACAACACAGAGCAGAGAAAAACCAAAGTTTGTTGAGAAGAAACATGGGATTGAGAGAGCGAATAATGTGTTGGTGCCGGCTTGCTTCAGGCAGGTGGATCTTATGCAGGAGGACGGAATGGGAAAGGCATGTAGGCTGTCTAGAGTCTAGACATGTCTACACTGTGTCTACACTATGTCTAGACATTTTTTGAACCGTGCGGTTGCTTTTCGTTGCTGAGGAGCGAGCCTGCTGGGATCTGTCACCCAAAGTGGGCAGCATGGCCAGCGCAGCTCGAAGCTCGTGTAGCCATGGTGCCATGGTGCCATGGTGCCATGGAAATCATAGAACTGCGTTGAGGTCGAGGTTGCGAGACGCCAAAGAGAGCCGCGGAGGCCTCGGTCGTATGATGCAGGCCCGGACTGACAAGTCATTGCCACTGCTTTGCCACTGCTTTGCCACTGCATGCTTCAGCTGTTCACTCTATCTCTATCTTACAGCAGCGAGGCAGTTTTCGATCTTTTCGGAATGCATCTCATGGCAGGGAACTTCAGAGCCTTAAGTGCCTCCGAACGGAAGCATGTGAATGCCTCAGTTGTGGCTGCACAAGGCTGCACAAGGCTGCACAACATACGACAATCTGTTTCTTGGATATTCGGCTGTAGGCGAATCTAGCTTCTGGGCAGCTGCGATGTGCCACCGGGGCAAAGCCGCTACCACATGATGATGGCACGCCGGGGAATTAGGGTTGGGATCACTTTGACCAATTTGCACAGTTATTTGCTGACTCAATTCAGAAGGGATCTTGTGGCTAGAAGCGCAGACATATCTGGTCCCACTGTGGCAAGGCAGGCAATCACCACTCGCGAGAGGTAGTCGTCGCGGAGCAGGGATACTCAGACTCTTGGGCTCTCCTTGCAGCTTGTGATTTGGGGTGCCTGAGCCGAGCAAGATTGTTCAATACAGCTCAAGTGCTGTACAAAGATCCGAAAGATAGCATTCCAAGACCTCGCAAATTCTAAATTGCCCATGATTTGCAGATACTCTCAGAACAAAGAAGATGAGGGTCGCTCAGGTTCTTCCCTTTTCTTTCTTACTTGTATTAGACCAGAGCTCAAGAGGCTTGGGATTAAGAATCTAGCCGCTAGCCTCTCAACGTGAAGGTCCCTCAATTTTTTAAGGTCAGTAAGAACTGGATACAGGTTGGCATTGGCGCCGAACCCCTCAAATTCTTGTACATATGGTGCTTTTCCGTATTTTTCTTGGGTTCTGTTGCATGCAGCCGTGCTGAGACAGGAGACTCGGTGGGTACCAAAAGACACATTGGGGAACTGCAGCGAAGCAAACTCCTTGGAGATTGCCACAGAATTGACATAGAGAATATATGATATATATATTTAAGGGCTGCCGCCCCTGCCGCCGACCCCGGAAAAATTAGACCTCGATTTTTTGATCTTCCACCTTGTTTCTTTGACCCCCCACCTTGCCTTTTCGAGGCGCTTGCTACAATAGTATGGATATTATATATATATGTATATATATATATATGGGCCCTATTATTATACATAGAAAGAGGAAAAGGCCGGGTGGTCACTTTGGAAGAAGATTTGGTGGACCGGGCGTGGTAAACCGGCTGGATTGATAACTTGCTTACAGGTACGCAGGACCCCCTTCCGTTATATGTTGATTTATAATCCCATCTGACTATAGATGTATCCACCATAACTCCAAGTTATTTGGTAACCAAATGGCAAATCGTTTGGGGGCCACCGGGGATATCTATGGATATCTCGTATTTGTATACAATACAGTATGTATAGTTTTGTACATATCATATGATATATCATACATCTCACTATGATTAGATATAATATTCACATATATATATAGTACACTCATTCTATATTAACGTATACTCACGTGAAATCAAATGAAGACATATAGAGAGCACCCAACATAGATAGCCGATATTGAATTATCACTATTCTAGTAGGATTATTGTCAAAAAACATATCTTTTTTGGCATTGCTAAAATATACCCTCGGGTAAACGAACACAGGGCTTCCATAGAAACATGTCATGAAATCCAATGAAATCAGCTTTTTTTGTTGGGAAAATCCCATATCAACCCTATCCAAAATCCGATTACTTCCACTAAAATCACCATGCGATCTGATTGAATCATGAAATCATATCTGGTTGGTGGTTTGGAACGTTTTTTTATTTTTCCATAGATTGGGAATAATAACCCCAACTGACTTACTCATATTTTTCAGAGGGGTAGGTATACCACCAGCCAGATATGAAACAACATGAATGTCCATTGAATCCCACACTTTCCATCCAAAGCCACTGGTGGAGTCCTTTTTGTGGATGAAGCCTATTCTCTGAAGAAGGCTCGGTTTTCATGGGCCGGGGATGGGCTAAGTCACAGGTTCTAGGTAAACAAGAGAAATCATCCCTAAATGGTCGCAAGATTCAGGTTAGCGAAACATGATAATTTACTTATATAGATCTATAGAGATTGTTTGGTAGCGTTTTGGAGGAATGGTCATTTGCAGTATGACATCATCCGTTTTGTCAGGAAATGGAGTCATATGGAGTATACTGGCACAGGTATACCCCCAAATCCAAATGGTTATTTTACATGGGGAAGGTGATGATACACCTGTGTCTATATTGTTATTTTCCCCAATAGTTGGGATGATGATCCAATCTGATAAATATGTTTCAGGGGGGTTGAAACCACCAACCAGATTAAAAATGGACATTACTGCTGTGGTAAATGGGATTGATTTCGCCAGTATCCGAATTGATAGATAATTCAACAGTTTGCGAAGTGGAAAATCACAATGATAGGGAAATCATTGAACTAAATCATTGAACTCAATGGGCCAAAAAAAAATCCATATCTATGGTAAAAATTACTGGTTGGATCGGATTGAAACCACCAATCAGGGATACGGTGGCTGAACATTCGCTGCAGTAGAATGTGACAATGTTGCTAGGAAACTGAATGACAAGAAACTGATCAACAACGGGATGTGGATGACTACATACCCTATTTTGTAACATCTTGTCACCCTGAATAGGGAAATTGTTTAGATTTGAACCCTAAAAAAGCTTAACCAGTAAACATTGGTTGAAACATTGTGTCAAAGAATAGGCGGGAAGCCAGTCAAGTCAAACTGGTGAGGTAGACGTGTCTAATCTTTTGGTAGGTTGGTAGTGTAGCTTGAGATGCCCTTTCTTCACAATGCATTTTTGGGGGCATGGTTTAACTGTCCAATCGATTTTAGGTAAAAAATTGGTTGAAATTTCATATCTGGATGATCATGGGCCGAGTTTCTCGGCGAGGTCTGTGGTGTGGGGCTCAGATGATCAACTCTTCTCCGGTGGTATGGCCTGGACCCCGGCCCGATAGGGCGAGGTTGCATTTGAGCGGCCCTGTTGTGACACAATGCAGTATATTATATTATATTATATTGTACTATATTATATTTTATTATATTATATCATATTATATTGTATTTTATTATAGTATGTTATTTTATATTTTATTATATTATGTGATTTTTCATTATATTATATCATATTATACTATATTACATTATTATGTTGTATTATATTAAATTATATTACATTATATTATGTTATATTATATTATATTAGTTTATATTATATATATATTATTATATTATATTATTAAATTATATTACATTATATTATGTTATATGATATTATATTACATTATATTACATTATATTACATTATATTATGTTATATTATATTAAATAATATAATGTAATATAATTTAATATAATATACTATAATATTATATCATGATTATATTTATTATATTATATTATATATTATATTATATTATATAATAATAATATAATATTACATTATATTATGTTATATTCCATTATATTATATTATATTATATTATATAACATTATATTGTATATTCTTATATATTGTATATATGTAAACTTGAAGAACATCCTCAAACTTGATGTCACACATGTCCTTGTTGTCTATTTGCTTGCTATGTTGACCTAATTATAGAAGCAGTCTATTCTCACACAGGCGCAAGTTTGTTGCAAAGATTTTCAGGTTATTTCTTTTCACCAGGTCATGGTTTCTTCTGGGGGGAAAGACTCCAGCCGAATTGCAACATGAAATCCCAACAAAGGTGTTTGGATTTCCTGTTTCCAATTGGACAAATTTGGGTCCATGTGAAGACGTGAAGACAAGGGGCCAAAACTCTTGGAACATTCACCAGAGATATTTAAAAGAGTGTCCAAACAATATCCAAATATGATCAAATATGTACACATATATCGAAAAACACGAGGATGCTGAATAATTCTGACACCAACGGCACCTGATTTTGTTGGTGATTTGGATGTTCCTTTTGCAGGATGGCACGGTGCGCGCTTGGGACACCCGTATGGGGGCACGGAGCCTCTTCCTATGCGACCTCTATGCGCACGAAGGTGCGTAGCTATGGGTGGCGTTTTCTTGGGGCTAGCATGAGCCAGGAGACAAGTGACTGCTTGGTGAATTCACGTGTTTGAGAGTTATGGTTGGAAGGATATGAGACCACCATCCAGTTGTTATCTGGTTGGTTTGGATCATTTTTCATTTTCCATTTCATATATGGGATAATCTTTCTCATTGACTGCCTTCAAGGAGAAGTCGAGAAGAATTCTCCAAGGATGCAGAACTAAAAAGGCGCTATGTCTTTGGACCACCCAGGACTGAGGGTTAACATTTCGGCTGGATCAATGGGTTTTTGAATGGGTTTCTATTTTTTGCCGTTCATTGGGGAATTATAGTACCCATCTGGTTGGTGGTTTGGAACACGTTTATTTTTCCATATATTGGGAATAATCACCCCAACTGACTTTCATATTTTTCGGAGGGGATTTTCACATTTTCCGCCACATCACGGATCTGCCAGGAGGGCAAAGATTCCTTCAGACAAGAGGCCGTCGACACACTGATCAAAGAGATCGAGGATAAGCGCGATCAGGCTGTGGGGCGCCAGTGACATGGTGGTTTAATGGGTTTAATGGGATTTTATGGGGTTCGATGTGTTTTATAGTTTTTTTTTGGGTTTGAACGTGTGTTTTTGTTTCTTTAAATGTGGTTTTCAGCATCAAACATATGGGAATGTAGTTGATAAGTGATGGTTAAACAGTTGGCCGGTAATTGCGCAGTTCGCGATGAAAGCCGGGGCTTATATATATATGTATTTATGTGGATGATTTATACTCCCTTAAACTAATGTAGATGTGGAACACCCTAACACCCACCATTTACAATAAATCATTTTCATAGAGAAACCATGGGTAAACTCCACATCTGTTTGTATGTTTACCTCAGGGTACCTATTGTTTTGATGGTGATTTCTTGACTTTAACTCCATCATTTCAGAGGGGTAGGTCAACCCCCAACCAGATGAGTATTAACTATCATTAACCATATATTGACAGTAGATTTATTTTTTTTCTGAGGGGTCTGGCGATTTTTTCTGGGATGATCTTTCTGGAATTTTCTGGATAAACACATGATGTGAGACATGGGCGAGGTTGCAACCAACTGGCCGATGCCGTGGCCGTGACCATGGGGCCCAAGGCCGTGGTTCATGGATGCTGAGGGTGGTGACCACCCCAAAATGATGACTCTATATGACTTTTCGATCCCAAAATCACCATGAAATCCCATCCAATGACCATTAATATCCAAAGTATTTTCATTAAATTGCCCTGTGATCACCGTAAAATCCCAGCAAATCACCATGAATATCCCATGGAAAATGTCATGAAGCAAAAATGAGGAACTTGTTGGGTCCACAACGAACGCCTTGAGGGGCGAAACGTGGTGATCGAGCAGTCTTTTGGAGCGCCCAAGGTGCGT